TGTCTTTGGCCACCACACCAAAGCTGCGTATGTTAATATCGGTCTCACCACCATATTATGTGTCCAATATACCATACCTGGTTTTAATCCCATTTTTGTCAAAAGGAGCGCTATTCTAGTGATGTTTCCCTTTACCTTGTTGTTCTTACCAGGTACTACTTTACCTTCTGGACGTTTTCATCTAGAAGGTTTAGAGGTTACAGTCCTAACTTTCTCCTGTGCGTTAATGCCAGGTAGGTGTATTGGACTAATTTTTAAGTTTCCTTTTCTAATCATTTTATTCCTATGTTTATAGAGCATCTTGCATATATGCTATCTAACTGGAGTGTTTTATTTACCATGTGACATAATCACTAGATCATCGGCATATCCCAGGGTTTTATGCCCATTATTTTTGAGATTCTCAATAAGCAGCCCATCCATCACCAGCTTTCACAGGAGTTGACAAAGAGTACTCTCCCTGTGGACAAAACCCAGGCTACTATCGTTTCTCCCAATGGTTACATGTATTATTCTCCCTCTTAGCATGTCATACATGTATCAGAGTTTTGAGGATAGAAACGATGAAAGTATTGTTAAACGCTCACTCGATGTCCAAGAAGGCTTCTAACATTATCATCTTGTTTTCCAGTGTGTTCTCCAGCCTTAATTTTAGTAATTGAAGGAGAGCTGTTTCGTTAATTTTCCTGCACAATAGGGGTATTGGTCTTGATGGTTTACTGGTCTTTGATATGTCTATCTAGCAGTAAACAAGTCTTAGTTACAAAAGATATTAAGACTTATTGGTCTTATAAGGATGTAGCCGTTCATTGTCCGATTTTCTCAGGTTTTAGTATAAAAGATTTCGCCATACTATTTTAAAGGACAGGGGCGCATATACGGGGGGTTGCCGAGGGTAATTACCCCCAAGAAATGTTTAACCTAACTTTTTATAGATACTAAAATGTTTATTTATCAAAATAAACTCAATAATATTACCACTACCCCCTAAACTTTAACCTTTTACCACTACCATCCATACTTACACTCTCGATCCCAGGCAGCAGACTGACGTCATTATGACATCTTATTTTCGTCATACCCGACGTCATTTGTCCTCTGAAAACTAACGTGATGACGGAAAAATGACGTGAATATGTCAGCCCAAATGACGTCATATTTAGACGTCCTTTTCACGTCTAAATATGACGTCTTTATGACGTTTCTTAGTAGTCTTTATAACCTCCTCGTCACCATGATATTTCATATTGTTACTCCTTTGTAACTTTTCTCTAGGAATTGTGGGTCAGTTAATAAAACAAAATTATAAAATGAAATAATTATAATTGAAAAGAAAAAACAGTTTAAATACATTATTAGCAAAAAAACATTAATTTATATAAATCCAACTGCTCCAAATGTGGTCAACTTGTACGTTATTATTTTGGTTTTGGCACAATTATGAAAACTACGGTCACAATTAATTTCTAATGATATTTCTATTTTACGAACCTGGGAACATTTTAGGAAACAGCCCATGAATGTAATAGATACCAAATCATTAAAGAATAGGGAAATTATAGATTTAAATAAATACTAAAAGGCATATATCATATATACCTTATGCTGGGTTGATATTGATAACTTTTTTTACTGACCGCCTCTTAACTTTTAACGACGGCCACGATCCACACATCATTACACATGGCCGAAGCCGAAGCAGCAATTCACAATGCCGTTCTCGTGCTTGCTCGAACGGCTCGAACGCACACGAGCCATACTCCACAGACCAATGACCAGACAGAGGCAGTCACGTGGTGCCAAATTCTTTATGCATTTTAAGCGCCAGATTTAAACGTTAACAGACCTAAGAGTTTTAAAAAATACTTGTTTAGGCTATATCATTTTACATAAATAAAATGTATTAAAATCACGTTGAATATATACTTTAATAGTGACGATGAATTGACGTCACACTGACGTCGAATTTATGACGTTAAAAAGACGTTAAAGAAGAGACGTCACAATCACGTTTTTTTTTGCAAAATGACGTCGATGACCAAGAATTGCCAAATAATGTCGTCAAAATGTCGTCAGTCTGCTGTCTGGGATGCGCCACTGTTAGAGGCCACCCAGACAACACACCAAATCCCAGAGATATCCACAGAATATCTTTTGTGGATATCCAATATATCCACAGGATATCAGAAATATTCCGTGAATCTAATATGGATATCCAAATGTCCGTCTATATCCAGAATATAGAAGATATCCTATGGATATTCAGCAAAATATCTAATTAGTATCTTCCAGACAATACAAGAAATCCCAGAGATATCCACAGAATATATTTTGTGGATATCCAACCAAATGTCCGTCAGAATTCAGATATTCAGCAAAATATTTTATAGGTATCTTTAGTAGACATTCATAAGTAACCAAATGATTATTGAATAACGTCGAAAGAAAATGAAAATAGAGATAAAAAATATTTCCAACAATCTGCCTTTGAATTTGCCCACTAAGGAAAAAGTCATCCTTATTAGGACTCTTCAGCAATAAATGGAAATTCTCGACTCCAGTCTCTAATAGAGTCTTAATGCGAATTTTTTTTCGATCAACTCAATTATGGTGGGTTGAGCATGAGTAGATACGAAAGTGGTATCGCCATCTATACTTAGGAAGCAAAATCAAAAATTACATCTAGTAGATATCCACGATGGTTTGCGTCCGCGCTAAGACTTTGATATATGTGGATGTCCATGGGATATTGAATACACCTTAAAAAAAATTAATTTTAAATATCTGAACGGTACTATTAGCCACAATGGCGAGCACAATGGCGTAATTTTTTAATAATTTGCTATATAATTACTATTATTTATGGACATTTGCATGTCTATAAATTACATTTCATGGATATAAAATAGATATCCACCATGGACTGGACATTCAGTGGATATTGGGATGTTCAGTAGATATCCAAAGGATTTGGTGTGCTGTCTGGGCAGGCTACTTCTGAGTATGATACAGAGTTGCAGCAAGTGTCAAAATGATCTATACTTTATGAAACTGGTTTCGAAAAATTCATTATGTCAACAGTTGCGAAAAAAGGACAAAAATAACCTTTTTTGGTTTTAAAATCAATAATACATACTATTATTGAAAGTTTATATCAAAGAAAAACAGGTTGACTCATAAAAATAGAATTTGGTTAAACTTACAGCCTAGTAATAATGTTGTTTTAGTCCTTATTTTCCATTCTAAATCAGCACAAAATAATTAAACCACAATACAAGTTTTTTGAAAACTAAATAATTTTAATAAAAATATAAATACACTACAAGTTGAAAATAAATAATTAATATTAATATATCTATTTGTCAATAAAATGATGCATATGCAGTTAACAATACAAGAATGTAATATTGGTTGCCCAGATGTCACTTATGTTTTACCAAAATACAATTTTATACATAATCTAGTCAAAATTAGAAAAAAATATGTAACTCGTTCATGTTCCTGGACCTCGTTCTACTCGTCTCGCAAATATTCACTCGTTTAATAAATAACTGGTTTCATAAATAGCTATTTCAGCCTTTGAAATAATTACTTACATTTTTACTTTAAGGTATAAGTTATGTTTATTTTGAAAAACAGATGATCAATCTATATAACTATCCGTATCATTGACGCTGTCAAATCACTAGGCCCATAAGACTTAATTTTCACATACTTTGATTACTATACGGTGCAAGAGAGAGGTCCGACACGCCCAACATAGGGCGCGGTCATTTTGATGCCTTTACCACAGTTTATAGCTAAAGAATCAGATCGCTCACTCTGCGTCGGCACTTTTGATCTCAATGTTCCAGTTTATACACTGCGCAACTCGTATAATACAATATATGACAACCACCTATAATAAAACAGCAGTCTTCTGCGTATCCTGAATTTGTATCCCTGGAGTGGATGTTATTTTGGAACTTTCAACTGGTCCGAGTGAGCTAACTGATTCTTTAGCAATAAACTGTGACTCCAAAAATGCATTCTAAACTGAATGGCTACCAGTGGGTTTTGACGGGTCATGATATGGCAAAATTATGGCAACCCTGTAGGCCTGGTGATTTGACAAAATCAATGAAATAGATAGTTAAATAGATTGATCATCCATATTTTTCAAAATAAACATAAGCTTATGCCTTGAAGTAAAAATGTAAGCAATTATAAGCAATTATAACTATATATGTATCATTGACCCTGTTAATGACAACATGACAACAGGGTTGCCATATCTAAACTGTCATTACCCACTTGCTTCCGGAATTGTCGGTTTAGTCGTTTTAACCTGTCAGATTAAAACAATAAAACCGACAATTCCGAAGCAGAAGCGGATGATTAAAACGCACCTATTAAAAATATTGCGCCAAGATGTAGGCAACACATAATAAGGCATCAAAATGGCGGAGTTTTCTATCTCCTTTTAAAATGCACTCAGAAAGCTGCGCAGTGCGACCATTCTCCGTATAGTAAGAGAAAATCAAATTATGTGCTTGTTAAATAAACAGATATTTGAATAATTTAATTATGCATATTCTACTTAGAAAGGGCAGTAGAAATAAAATATGTAAAAATATTAAAACATGGACAAATTTCAAATAAATTTATCTCAATAATGATTCTTCAATACCAGCGTTAATGCGACATCTATGAGGATTTAGCCTAAGCGTAATGGGATGTTGATTTTTTAACAGGAGAGTTCTATAAATTTACTGGAGTGATTTGCCTAATTATAAGCATTGTATAAAGAACGAGCGTAGGATAATCGCAAAAAGTTATAAATTATTAAAGCACGGACAAATTTAGAATAATTTTATCTCAATAAATATTATTTTTCAATACCAGCGTCATTGCGACATCTATAGGGACTTAACCTAAATAGAATTGGATGTAGATTTCTACCAAGAGGTTTTGTAAATTTACTGTAATTTGCCCGATTATAATATAGATGGCAGTATTAATCTGAAATGAGAAATGAAGGGAAAAATATAACCTAATTTAATTATAAATGTTGGTAAACATAGTAAACAAAAATACTAATCTTTTTAGTGCATACTTAGATAATTGCATTAGATAAGAATGTCAGAAGAAATTAGAATCGAAATTTTACTGGATAAAATTTGTAGAACATGTTTATCAGAAAAAGATCCAATGGAGTTGAAATCACTATATGATAGCGCTTTAAAGAAAGAACTATCTGAAATTACGTCTATAAAGGTAAGAATATATTAATATAGAAAAAACAGAATGTTGTCCTTTTATTATTTAATTAGATAAATAACAAATAGAACGTGAAAAATATTAAACAATGTGTATTAAAGTTCTGTGTTTCGTGATATTTTAATATTTGCTTGCTTATCTAATCTAAATGTTGCGATTTATGACTAAATAATTTCATGATTTAATATAATGATAAATTAGTGAATTCAGGATGTAACATTCTTAAATTACACGCCCACAAAATTAAAAAACAATGTTTAAATAAAAAACAAATATTAAGACTTAAAACTTTATCCTAATTTTATGCACTTCTGCTTCTGCATGATTCTTTGCACCAAATTGAATCAGTATATTTGCTCCTTTATCAACCAAGACCTTACACGGACCTTTAGAATAATTTTTGTTTAAGGATGTATTTCTTATAAAAATATGGTCATTCATTAGGTACATTTATAGTGCTCTTACTTACTATAATTGACATTGAAAGTATAGTTCTTTTGTACAGTAAGTAATGTATGGATAGTCCCCTTTAATCTGAAATACCCTATGATGCAAATGTCCAATTTTCATAAAATGATATCCATATAGTCTGAACACTTGAACCCTGAATTCTGTAATTTGAATATGTATACACACTTCCTTAATTTGTTTTCATTTTGTACATAAATAAGGGTTTCTATAGCTATTGAGTATATATTTTTGTGGTGGGAATGTATTTGTATGATTAAGAAAGATATCTGTAAACAATTGTGTTCAGATGGTATACATATTTTATTATGAATTCTATAATCTGACAGTTTTGATAAACCGAATGGGGTCTACAAACTTTCTGTTCAAATTATCTGTATATTATTGGATTTGATTAAATTACTTCTAGTTCTAGCCTCCTCTCAATTTTCTGTAAAAAAAACATAAGTTAGTGCCTAACCAGCATTATCTAACATTCAATTATATATCTTGATGCCTGAAGAATTAATTATTTAATTATATTCCCTGATATGTCTATGATAGGTAACAATGTACTGGCAGTACAGAGACGTCTGTAGATTTTACTAATATTTCAATACCTAACCTAGTTTGTAAAATTTCTCCTTTCTCATTAACTAACCTTTCTATACTTTCACAGTATTCACGAAGCTTATATATTATCTATTTACCTAGAGTATCTTTATTGCTACTAAACTAAGCTTTAGCTTCCTATATTCTAACTTACTTAATGTATTATTCATTATTTTCCTACTATTTTGTCTATCATGAAGATCCTTATTATCTTTATCTGATAAGCATATTCCAGTAAATGCATATACAGGCCTGGCAATTAAATCTCCAGAGGCATGCTTTACCTGAGGTTAAAATTCTTACAATTCATGACTTTTATTTAAAAAATATACTAAAAAGTGAATTGTTATTGGCTCCCCCCCCGAAAAACCGGCCTAAAATCGCCCTTGAATCGAATTTAATTTGATATTTATTAAAGATAGTTCTTCCAGAACTATTTGTTTATAAAATAAACATGTTCAAATTATCCTATTATCTTATTATTTCATCTTATTATCTTATCTTCTTATCATATTAGTCTCTTATTACCTTATTATCTTATCTTAGTGTCTCATTATCTTATTGTCTCATTGTTCTAATATTATCTTATCTTATAATTATCATCATCTTAATCTTACTATTATTATTATTATTATTATCATCTTATTTCAGTATGACAAGTTTGAGATGACACGTCAGAATTAGATGGTCACTGGCAAATCTAAAAATGGGAGGAGTTATCTCAGGTAATATTAACCAATCTTTTATGCTATTGTTTCAGCGATCTATTTGTGTTAACTGAGATAACTCCTCGCATTTTTAGACTTGCCAGTGCACATCTAATTCTGATTGGCCATCTCAGTCTTGTCATACTATATTATCTTATTGTCTTATTGTTTAATCTTATTAACTTACTAACTTATTATCTTTATCTTGTTATCTTATTTTTTTATCTTATTATCATTTTATTATATTACTATTGCTTTATCTTATTATCTTAATATTATTTTATCTTATTGTCCTATCTTATTAATATATTATTATCCCTTTATCTTATTATTATCACCTTTTGACATTTTTATCTTATTATCATAAATTGCAATATTATCTTTTAATAGTAATACATTTATACTTGATACAACCAACATACATATTTTTTTACTTGTTACAATGTACAACTCTTACATAATAAAATAACAAAAATACTTATACAGGATGTTACATTCTTACATATTACAAATGTTTAAAGTGACTCACTTTTCATAAAGCTATATCCCATTGGAATTTTTATTTTCTTCTATTTTAGGTAGAGGAAAATGATGGTCTACCTCCTGGAATATGTAATGATTGCTACTACACTTTAAACGTTTCGATAAATTTCAAAAATCAATGCCTAAAATCTGAATCACATTTAAAAAGTATTTTATTTCCAGAACCATCGATTATTTATAAAACAATTACTATATTAGATAGTGGTCCAGAAAATTCCAGAATAGAGATATGTAATGATGATGAAACCCTACCAAGAATTAGTGAAAATGCAAAAGTAGAAAATACAGAATTAGATAATTTTAATATTATTCAGAATAATTCTGTATATATTGATATTTATTCTGATAAAAATTCGAATATTATATGTAATAATTCAGATGATGGAAAATTAAAAAATATAAAAAATCTTAGTAGTGTAATAAAATACAATCCGAAAATTTATGCAAAGGAAAATGCTTGTGTTCCAAATTTTGAATGCACAGAATGTAAAAAGAAATTTAAATATGAAAGTATTTTTAAATCACATATGATTAGGCATGGTAAAAATTTAAAATGTGAAATTTGTCAACAGGAGTTTAATGGTAAGAAATAGTGTAATAAGGGTTACAAAAAACAATACTTTTTTATATAGTGTGTCTCAAAAGTTTGTATTTACGGAAAACGTTTTTATAATTGATTAATTTTCTTGGACCTGGCCCGGCTTTTTAGCCAATGGTATTTACCTATGGCGAAATCCCCATCATAAATAATATAAAATAATTTCATTTTTATGAGTTACTCTCAGGTTTGTTTTACTTCAGAAGTCTTTGTTAATACAAATTGCATTAGTAAATAAACATTATTAATTTCTTTAATAATATGTTTGATTGTCTATAAAGTATTTGTAAAGTTTACATAAAACCACTTTCTAGCAATGAAAACTTACAAATTCCACATAAGATCCAAACACCCAGATTACCGTCCGTACAAATGCAAACATTGTAAAAAAGATTTTAGTACTGCATCTGCTTTAATAAAACACACTCGTATACATGGTGGAGAAAAGAAGCACTTATGTAACGTTTGTGGGAAACGATTTTTTGAACAGAATCACTTGTTGGTAAGCTACTTTTTTATACAAAACTATGAATACAAAATTTTACATGTATATAAAAAAATATATAAAAATCGATTATATATATTTTATTTACTGAATTTTTATCCATAGGTTCATTCGAGAATCCACACAGGTGAAAAACCACTTGGTTGCAATACTTGTGGCAAAAAATTCGCCAATCGGCACGGTCTAATAACTCACAACAAAATTCATACTGGTGAACGAAAATATCAGTGTAATACTTGTGGTAAGATTGTTTCCTTTTTTATCTTTATCTTTGTCGGTTGTAAGCAGGTAGGGTTAGGTTTGGCGCAGAACACTACGGCCTCTTGGGTCTATTGTATTCCCCTGCCTTCCCCATATTCAGGTACTATTTTTGGAATAGTCCTGTGTCTTTGGTTAGTTTTAATAAGTTCCCTACCAAGTGTTCCTGGGGCGTTCTTTCCGGTTCTAGGCCCAAAAGGATGAAACGTCGCCTAGTAAGAGCTTCGCATTCACATGGTATGAGGTTTCTTCCTCTTCCATGCAGATTCTACACGTAGTGGGATCATTGTGTGATTCCATCACATGAAGGTGTTTCAGCAAGCAGTGTCCCGTTAGTAATTCCACAATGGTGGATATCTGAGGCCTTGCAAGGTGTAGTGGATTTGGTCCCCTTAGCATGTGCTTACTGATTCTGTGTCCTCTATTGCCAGTGAATTTGGTGTTTTGTGGTTATCCACCTGTACACTGCCTGTCGAGCAGAGGTTTTGCTTATCCCAAATATGGGTCCTGTGAATGGTAGATCTAATCCCTCTTCATTTCCTTGGATTCCTTTGTGCCCTGGTACCCACGCTAGTTTTACCTTGTTGTGGGTTGCCAGATTAGTTAGTATTCCAAGGCAGTTCTAGACAAGCTTCGACTTGATTCCTTCTTCTTAAATTCTCTCGTACACACAATTCGATTGCATGTATTTCAGCCTGAAATACAGTGGCATGTTTTCCCAGTGAGACAATGATGTCGCATTTGGGTTTAACTCCATGTACGCCAGAGCCTGTTCCCTTGTTAGTTTTAGATCCATCCGTATACCATACGAGACCGCTAAGCAAGTATTTATCTATCTCCTTATTTACCTTCTTCCAGTTGACCTGGAAGAGTCTGTTGAAGGTTAGGAGGTCATGTGATCTGATCCCATGTTTAATATAGAATCATTTACTTCATGTGTTATTCTGGTATGTTTTATATGTCCCAGTGGGTTCCAGTTGTTGGAGATTTTCAGTCTGTATGCACTCATTCTGGCCTCCCCCTTTACGACTAGGTTAAGGGGTGGGAGGTTTAGAATTATTTCCATAGAGGCTGTCGGTGTACTTTTCAGTGCTCCTGTAATACAAAGGCATGCCCCTCTGAACTCCTGAGAAGGTATTTGGGGCTGTTTTCTTGTTTACTTTTGGCCACCAAACAACCGCTCCACAAGTTATCATGGGTTTTGTTATTGCCAAATATAGCCAGTGGACCATTTTTAGTTTTAATCCCCATGTTTTTCCAAATGCCCGTCTTCCTACAATCAGAGACATTTTACATTTATTGGTCACTTTTTGTAAGTGTTGGTTCCAAATAAGTTTGCAATCTAGGATTAGACCCAGATATTTTACTTGGTTCGTTTTGTTTAGCCTTCCTCCAAACAGAGTCAGGGTTTCTAAGACCTCCTTCCTTGTTTTCCGAGTAAAGATTATGAGTTGTGCCTTGTCAGGGTTTACCAAGAGGTTTTCCCTAACGCACCACATTTCTGTCAGCCTAAGAGCTCTTTGCATGAGTTCGAAGACTGTAGTTTGGTGTTTCTCTCGGATAAGGATGACTATGTCATCGGCATATCCTTGGGCGTACAGCCCTTGATTGTTCAGTGTTTTCAGCAGTTCATCTGCCACTAGGTTCCACAGTAGAGGAGAAAGGACATCCCTTGTGGATATTATCCTGCATGGTTTCACTGAACATTTGTGCCTGTACTTGCCGTCCGCGTAACATGTCTTCTATTCACCTGCAGATGGTGTCTTCTATTCCATGTTTGCGAGCGGCAGCTACCATTGATTTAAAGGCCGTATTATCAAAAGCTCCTTCTATGTCAAGAAATGCTTATGGGACTATTTCTTGGCTACTAAGTCCCCCTCTATCTTGGTTACCAGATGATGCAGAGCAGACACAAGATTTTTCTGATTGATAGGCATGTTGGTTTGTATGAAATGGCCTACTTCTGTGTTTAATTGTTGACTTCCAACCTTTACTTTTCAAAGAGACATGAATATGGTCCAATTACATAATTTGTTTTTACTCATCCTCCTGTACAATTGATAGGATTAATTTAAATTTATTTAAATCACATAAAAATTACTAACCCACAGAAACAACCTTAAAATATTGTATTTATTACACAATCTTTAGCATCTAGAGAATTTGGTATCCTAAATTACAGTTGAATATCTACCTCAAGCAAGGTCAAGAATATTGAAGTTAACAGAATTCTTTATTGAGTTTTTTGTAGATTGTTGTACATTTTTTTAAAGTTATCTTTGTCTTAGAAAATATTTGCACGTTTCAGCAATCTCTTGACTCAAGACGTAGTGAAGTAATTGGAAGATAATAATGTAATGAATGTTTTGTTAAGTCTCGCCGTCTGACGATCGTACCAATAAATTTTTCGTGGCGTAATATCGGGTGATGTAATTTTCTGCTTGCAAACTTTAAATAAATGAGACTGCGTTCCCCCAAATCATCAACAAATTATTTTTTTGGATAATATTTAAGAAATAATAGAAAAATAATCTAAAAAATTTCAGTTTACCAAAATTAAAATAATTTAATAACAGTTCCTAAAATATCCCGTTTCTACCTTTAAAGTTTTTCATGTGGGTTAATTATCATAATGTTGTAGGACAGAGATTTGCCCATTCTTTCGTATTAAAAGCCCATAAACGAGTGCATACAGGAGAGAAACCATATAAATGCAATAATTGCAATGCTTCATTCGGTTCTTCATCGTATTTGAAAATTCACCAAAGGATACACAATCAAGAAAAACCATATAACTGTGCTACTTGTCATAAGGTATTTTGATTATTAATACTAGTAAGTTTCAAATGAATAGATCCAGGTTTTTAAATGTTGAATTAATTTAATTTTTGATTCGCTTAAGTTTGTAAATAAAATTTTATTTAATATTTTATTTATTACTAAAAGTACACTGTATAATTGAAGAGTCGGCCATGAAAACGTGAAAAACTGTCCAGATCTGCTGACGAGAACATCCCAGATCAGTTTCCTAGCCCTGTCTACATGACCAAACTTAATTTTTAACAAAAAAACCAAATAAATAAAAACTAACCTTGTGTAGGTATTTGGAGGAAAATTATATAGTATTTGAACATGCATGAGTGTATATTTTAATTTGAAAAATAGTTGGTTTGTAATATTGGGTATGTCTAAGTTGAGTCAATTAAAGAAAATGAAAAGCAAAGTTTGTAAGAGTTTAAAGAATGCCTATAACTTACTAGATTGTTTTATTGATTCATAATAATAATTGATGATTACATTTTTATTGTTTGATTTAAATGTGTATGTATAGTGTAAGATATAAATAATAATATAGTATCTGTTGAAAAATGCTTGAATAAACCTTTTTTATATTTTTAGATTTAGAATTTGCCATTACTTTTCCTTCACAACATTCCGTAACACCCTGTAGATAAAAACCTGTTTTAAAATATTTTTCTCCATTTTCCACAAAGTATAATTTGTCCGTTTACGTTTTTATGGCTAACCGACCGACCATTCTATTATACATTCATTCACTTATAGATTTATTGTGTCATTTTGACAGTCGTACTTAAAATTTTTGCGTTTAATTTATAAATCTTAGAATGTTACCTGTCTTTATGACTGACACATATTTTGACATATTTCGAAGTATTTTAAACAAATAAATCAATGGGATATTAAACGTCGAGGAGTTATATGAGCACTTTGTCAACGTTAATATTCTTGGTACCTTACCTGAAATGATATAGCAACTATTTTTTAGGCTTTTGTTTGTAAAAGTAGCCTCGATTCTCACAAAAAGACCCATACAGGGGAAAAACTTTACCAATGTTCGATTTGTGGGAAGACAGCTGGAAGATCTACTGACTTACAAATTCATATGAGAATACACACAGGTAATATTACAAATTAACCTCATGAACATTAACACTGTCTTGTGTTCTCGAAAACCGTCTACAGTCTATTGAAATTCAACTAAATTTAAAATTACCAAATAAATTGGTTTTAGTTTAAAAATCTTTTATTAACTGAATGGAATCTTTTTTAATGCTCCAGCTCTGTTTTCTGACTCTATTTATCATGTTCTGCTTCCTCACTTTTACCAGCTGACCTTCCCAACTATTTTGGTTCGCCCTTTATTATTTATACTCTTCTAACAGCAGTCTCTTTCTTAAAATTCTAACCTGCATTCAATATCCCCATCTTATTTTTCTAAATTAATTTCCTAACTTTTCTCATAATTAAAAAACTAAGATCCTTAAGACATCCCTTTTTTCTACAAACTTGATATTCTTTTCTAGACTTCATACCGCCCAGTTTTATAAATAGATTTCAAAATTTCCACAATGACACGTAAACTGTATTATCGAATTTCACTACCTGACGATTTTTCATACAAATTGGCGCACAACGTGGGGCTGATAAATTTTGTGCGACCTTCTAACCATATTTAAACTGCTGATTTTATTTGGAGAAGTGTGCAATTTTTACCCTTTTAGCGTTCGCGACATTTAAAAACTCCAAACTTTGCTCCTGACTAACTAAACCCACCTGCGAGACAGGCTTTCTAACCCATTTCATTGGTTTGTGGGCCAAATGTAACCAACAAATATCGTTTTCAAAAAATAATAATAGATATGTATCTACTATTTTCTTTACATTTAATATACATCTACATTTTCAGAATGATATATATGAAGAGATCTTTATCCTGGCCTCCTGAGTGTTTGTCCTTAATGACCTTGCAAAAGTTTACTCTTTGCTTTTATGAGCATTAATATATTGTTTTAGTTGAGTTTAATTTCCCTAAAAAAGCGAGCGAAGGATTATCATTTACGTGTACGGTCTTTCGAAATATACACTACTCTTAGACTTTACTGATTGGCCAGCTATCTGATCGGAGATCTGCCATTGGCAGCTCGCTGCTAGGTTGCCCCGCCCACCCGTTCAGTCCACCCGGCCGACCAGAATCTGGCTATATCGATGCTTCGCCCACCCGTTCAGTTCTCCCGCCGACCAGAATTGGTGACCCTGGCCGAATTTGAATAGAAGTAACTGTTTTGTTAGTTGCAGTTAATATCAGACCATAAACCAATATTTCACGAATATTTTTGATTTAGTTTTTTATATAAAAAAATAATAGTAAAGCAAAAAGTGCTGAACACAACGGAATTATAACTTAAGTAGAAGTAAAAAAGTAGTTCCTTGGGTTTTTTATTTTACAAAGCATTGTAAAATAAAAACTTACGTCCGATACAACCAAGGAACTTTTTATTTATACATAATTCTATCAAGGTCAGGAAGTTATCCTTGTTATGATTATTGAAGTGTTCAACGGTTAAATAATATTTAATTTTAGGTGAGAAACCTTACGGTTGCGACCAATGCAGCAAACGTTACGTCACTTCCAGTAACCTGGCCGCTCATAAACGTACGCATTTGGGTACAAAGGATTACATTTGTTCAACATGTGGGAAGGCGTTCGGGGATTCCCGGACGCTGAAATGCCATTATAGGATCCATACGGGAGAAAAACCATATGTTTGTACAATTTGTGGTAATAGTTATACGCAATCTGGTCAACTATCAGTCCACAGGAGGATACATAAAAATACTGAAATTCAACAAGAGTATAATTAAAATATATAACGTTCGTGTTTTTTTTTTATTTTGCACTTCATGTTAAACCGATTTATTTCTTTAATGAGATATTTATTGAAAATGATCTAGTTCTTGAATAAGGTAATATGAAGTCTCCTGAAATTGAATCATTGCTGATTTTTCGTTCCACAGGTAAGTTAATTATTTTATAGGTTATGATTGACGCCATAGACGTAACAAATTCAAATTTATTTTGAAAATGTTAGATTTAACTATAATTGTAGTTTTTAGTCGCATATTCGTGTTGTTTTGGGGGAATCTTTATCATAGTACTTCTTCGATTTAATACGCCAGAGCTAAGGACAACTTTCATAAATTTGAACAATCTTTTCTAGAATTTATTGATTACTTTTTTGTTTATCTGAAGATTCTAAAGAGATGGAACAAAATATCTAATAGAGACGGCAACATTTGCTTGAATAAGCATCGTACATCCATGCTTGTCAAGCTTGAAATTACGTGTGTGAGCCGCTTTACTACTGTTTTGGTAATTTTATTGGTATGCGCATCAAGGGACCAAGACTTTTCCAAAAATCCCCACCAATTAACAGGTATATCGTAGAAGTAACACTTTCACATGCCCAATTTAAAATACAGGGTGATTACAGTTTCGTTATTAAAAGAAATAACTAATGGATAATGAAAATATATTCATAACGTCAAAATAAGTTAAAAACGCTTATTCTTGTGATAAAGAATGATAGTTATGTATTTGTTTTACAATGTCTTATATAAAACGTGTAATCTGAAAAAATGTCTATAAAATTACTGTCTAAAAGTTTAAGGCACTATTTATCAACTTCACTCAAATATGTCGGTACTCTTCATCCAAGCTGTAGAGAAATTGTATATTTCTTATTTGTACAATACTTGCTGGGTCTGTTTTGAAACAACGTGGTTTTCTAGTCATAGCTAAACCTTTGTCTCTGAAACAAACATGTAATGAATTTTCATTTTTTAATCAGAAATGTATATTTACATTAATAGATAGGTAAACAAAAAATATTGAATTATCAAATTGTTCAATTACTTATATTGTATCGATATAAATACTATCAGTCATTTAGTTTTTCAAATCAGCGATTTTGAAAAGCTTCATATGCAAAATCTTATGAAAATATGACAATTTTTGTCCGTTATATTGGATCCGCCATGTTATTTTTCAATTTTTTTGTTTATATTATTAAAATTTTAATAAAAATTGAAAATGTTTTAATTTTGTCCGCCATATTGGATGTAAATTTGTCATTCCAATTTTTAATTTTAGTTTCTTAATTATCCACTTTGAAATGTCCTAGATGCAAAATTTTATGACAATTGTAATAATTTTTGTCCGCCATATTGGATTAGCAATGTTCTTTTTGAAATTTTTTAGTTTATATTTTCAATCAACTACCTCAAAATATCCTATAATCAAAATATTCAAAAAATCCATTTTTGTTTGTCTGCCATATTGAATCCGACAATTTGTTATTCAAATTTTTAATTTCAAGTCCTTAATTCGCGACTTCGAAAAGCCTTTTATTAAGAAAATATAACTTTTTTTTAAATTTTTATCCGCCATGTTGTTTTTCAATTTTTTTTTGTTTATATTTTTAATCAGCTACCTATCGAATTTTTACAATTTACAATTTTTATAACTTTTGTACGCCATAATAAATTCGTCATTTGGTTATTCAAATTTTTTAATTAAAGTTCTTAATGAGCAACCTTGGAAATCCCTCTATATCAAAAATTTGATAAAAACGACAATTTCTTTCAATTTTTATCCGCCATATTGGATACACCATGTAGTTTTTCAAATTTTGTAGTTAATATTTTCAATCAGCTACCTCATAAAATTTTATAATCAAAATTTAAAGAAATTAATTTTTATAATTATTGTCCGCCATTTTGTTATTCCGAATTTTAATTTCAAGTTCTTAATTAGCGACCTCGAGAAGCCATATATATAATCGAATATCCCTCTATATCAGAAATTTTATATTTTTTAAATTTTTATCCGTCATATTGGATTCGCCATTTTGTTATTCCGAATTTTAATTTCAAGTTCTTATTTAGCGACCTCGAGAAGCCATATATCCGAAATTTTATGAAAAATTACAATTTTGGTTTTTTTGTCCGCCATATTAAATCCGCCATTTTGTGATTCCAATTTTTAATTTCAAGTTTCGTAATCAGCAACATCGAATGTTCCTCTATATCAGAAATTTTATATATTTTTTTTAATTTTTATCCGCCATATTGGATTCACCATGTTGCTTTTCAAATCTCTTAGTTTTTATTTTCATTCAATCAAAATGCATTTAAAAATTGAAATTTTAAATCTTAAATTTTTAATTAGCTGCCACAAAAAACCCAACGTACAAAAGAAATAACGCCCACATCTAAGTAGTAATGAATGATTTTAAAAAAATGTAAAAGTGGTCAAAACAAACCTCAGAACATTATTTTCTACTTCGTCATTACGCATTTTTATATTTTTGACAAAAATTTGACATTTTTTTTTAATGCCTATTTATATCATTGCTCTTCTAGCGGCTAAGTTAGAACCTTAAAAATAATTTCTAGATACCATTTTTTTTTTTTTAAGAAAATACGATCAACAGTTCCTTAAATATGGCCGGTGACCTTTCTAATTTGAACACCCCGTACTTGCTGCGTCGATATATATATATTTATAATCTTTGTTTTCCAAAACTATATCAAAATTTCGCTAACGATAAGATATATTACGAATTTGTTTCTGTCTTTATCTCATTCTATTCTTAACAATTTCCAATATAGCGATGTTAAATGGCGAAGAAAAACTGCCCGGTATATAATTCTGATATTTCATACATACTGGGTTAAAAAAAAATCAGTAACAGTCGATTATTTAATAATCACAAATACGAAACATATATAAAACTTTTGTCATCAAATCTAACATTATAAACTACCACAGTCTTAATAGCTTGGCTATTTTTAATTATTTCGTAACTACTGAAAATAATACAAAGGATGAAAATATTTAAAAAAACTAGTACGTTTGGAAGTATTTTGTTGTGTAGCACCAATATCACCAGAATGATCAAAATCGTTATCTTTATTACCTGGATCTTGTTCTTGCTCGTCCTCTTTGAAATCTCCCTTCGCGTGTTGGATCAACAACTTCTTCGCTTCGCGGATGATGCTGCAATAGTCCAGAGTGTCTCCTTCATCTTTCTTGTCTTTAACCTTTTTGGTTCTCTGGCAAGCCTTGCTCTTACCCTCGGTTCTACAATAAATCTTGTAATTCCTCGTTGCTTCTCTCAACTTATCCAAAAAATCGGGCATGGCACGAGTAGCGACCCAGGTGGTTACGGTGCCCGGTATGTTGATGCCTGGATTGTCGTAATACGTCAAGACGAACTCCAAGCCAGGTTTGTTCATTTCTTTGTACGGTCTGATGACCATACATGACCAATAGTCTTCTATTCGGAATTTGTCCGAGTATTTTGGGAAACTCGGATGCGATGTACTTTTGCTCATGATGTAGAGAGTCTTTTTAGATTCGTCTATTAGGTATCTTCGACAAAATACGTAATCTCTATTTGTAAATAGTCTCTGAAAGTAAAAAAAAAGAATGTATGTTATCGAACGAATTTTAATTTATAATTGATTTTTATTTATTTTTAGAATCGACGATGCACGAACGACGAGCGTACATAGTCTGAATGGGACTTCTTTCCTTATATTTTTCAAAAGTTTCACTTCAAAAAAATATTAAAAATCGATTTTTTAAAAATTTTATCAAAACTTACAGGCCACAACATTTCCCAATAAATAATGTCACTATTTGTATTTTCCTCAGTGTCGCCTTGTTTGAGAACAACGGCCGTCGTATCCCATTTTCTCCTATAATCAATATCAATTTGGACGTTCAAGAAATCTTCGGCGGACACATCATTGTAAGTTCCGAACATTTTATATTCATATTGTCCGGAACCAGAGGCATGCAATCTTCTCCATACCACTAAATCTGTTTTTTCTATAAACGGCATCCAGTTTTCATAAGTTTTATCTGTTGGTTTCCCAGTAGTACCGCATTTACAAATGTTTGTATTCGTTTTAGTTCTTTGACTTGGATCGCAAGAGAGACAAATAGTTTTATCTTTTAAAACGTCTATATATTCAAATTCTTTTTCATAAGTTTTAATATCTTCAAGGCTTATCCTGTTTTTGTCCCAGTTGTAGACTGCTGCTGAAGCGATGGCGAATTCTTTACCACGTCTGGTTAAGTTTTGTCTCATTTTTCTGATAAACTCTTTCAGAGCCTTTTCTTCCCACCATTTTGAATACAATGTAAACATTTGTTGACATCTGGAATGTTTAAAACATTATTTAAACCAGATTGAAGATATATTTTACAATTTAACAGACAAATACGGTCACCCTTGAATGGAAATAATAAAAATCGTACTTTTGGTTTGTTTAACTGGGCCATTTTAAAAGCAGCCAATCATTATTGTTTAGTAACGGTGAACGTAACAAAGAATACCGAGTGGACGCCAAGTGAGAATTCGGGATGGATCAAGAGAAAGATTGATGGAGAGAGAAATGTGAAAAAAAAATTTGGTTTGGTGATTTTAATTTTCAATTATTAACATTTAAGTGCTTAGGTAGTAGTTCCCTGTTTTTATAATTTCTATATCGAGGGTAATAGTATATTATTAAACGAGCAATTTATGGTAGCCGAGTGAATAATGGCCATAAATTGCGAGTCTAATACTATACTTAGTCCACGACCATTATGGTTTCTTTATTAAATAAAAGTTAAGTGTAGAATGGAAAGTTTTTAATAAACATAGGTAACTAACTGTTGTTTTTTCCACTTTTCAATTTTTCGATTTTTTGATTTTTCGATTTTTCAGTTTTTTGATTTTTCAATTTTTCGATTTTTTGATTTTTCGATCTAGAAAATATCGTTATGAAAAGTATCGCCTATCTTTAGTTATCTACCGGAATGTGCCAGAATTACAAAAGCGTGAATTATCATAATTCACTCCGTGATATATGGGTACTATATGCTCTTAGTTAGGAGGTAGAATATTGATTTATTATTAAGTGGACGTGGACAAAATACTTTGCCCGATTTTTTTATTAATATTTCAACCCCCTTAAGTAATACCTGCATATTAATGTTGCTTTTCGTTTTTGATTTTACATTTTTTTTAATTTCAACCCCTTTCCCAACACCCCACATTTTTATTCGTCCCTTTTAGAGCTTGTTTTTGCTAAAAATTTCAAATTGGTATCATTTTTAGTTTCATAGTTATAATTTTAAAACCCCCTCAACACCCCCAAACTTATCTTTCAAAAATGATATATATTTATGGAAATTGAAAATATATTTTTTGAATAAACAAATTTTATATAGATGATTATCTACCTGTACCTATTTTTCAAAAATGTTTTTCTCAAATAATTCAATATTTAAAATTTTATATACATGGCAAATATTTAGTACATTAGACAAAACAAAAGAGGTGTTTTTAATTATAATATACTAATTTTCTTAATCTTTTTTAATTGTTTACATCCAATAATAGGATTGCTGCCAACTTGTTTACTATGGAGCACAAAACATTAAAATAAACCAGATTAATATTGTTTACCAGAAACAATCGCTATTTTCATATCAACTGCACAATATCAGTGTCATTTTGATTGAAAGGCTATTTTTAAGTTTTGAAAAGGACGTTAGTAAATAAATTTATTAAAGACTTTAAAAATGAAACATATTAACTATTAACTTGTATTTTTTTTAGATTCAATAAAAAATTGTTTAAATAAATAAAAAAAATATTTCAAAAATATTTTCCAATTAGACAATTAAATTTTTAAATTTACCAAAGCATAATAATGTTACCAAATATGTATAGTACATTATTATAATTATTTTAAAAAAATGCCTCACATTCTAAAAACTGTCCATTATTATTACTATATTGCTTTGATTAAAATTTGAAGTGGTATGAAGTGGTATAACTTCAAAAACTTTGATGAAATATATTTTTAACAAAAGAGTAAAGAAATTAATATATTCAAGCCTCATTAAAATTAAATAAAAACTATTTTTTTATTGTGCATTATTATTAAAATAAATTGATATTGAAATTAATTTCTTTAAAAAATCATAGGTTTTATACTATAGAACATAATATTGATGCCTTAATTTGCAAACCTATAACTTAAAAATACTTTTAGGATGTATTTGTCAAGTTCTTTTAACTCCTTTAACACTTTTTACTCCAAACGACCCTTTTAGCATTCGGTTTAGTCCGATTAGTGACAGTTTAACACGCTTAAATGTCATTTAAAAGCACCCTCAAAACAATCATGATAAAAAATATATCACCTGCAAGATGTTTTTAGTTTAAATTATATTTGGTTTTTTTTTTTCACTCCTATAAAATTTACATTTTGAGGGTTACACCACAACATTTGACCTATTAGTATGTTAAGTTGTATCGAAAGAATCATTGAGAAGGTCATTTATGAACAAATTGTTAATTTTTAGAACAAAATAAACTTATTACTAGAATACAATTGGGCTTCAGAAGCAAACATAACTGTGAATCAGCTATCCTGTGTGTTTTATATGATTGGAAATATAAATTTGATAAAAACTATCTAACATTGGCAGTTTTTATAGATCTTCAAAGGGCATTCAGGACTGTTGATCAAAACCGTAGAGGAAGCATTGGAGTGGTGTGTGAATTATCTAAGAGGAAACAAAAGTTAAAAATAAATAACATTTTGTCAGAGGAAATTAACTACATCAGAGGTATGCGCTAGTTCAGTGTGATGTCATTTTGGTTCCACTGACATTTAATTCTAACCAAACTTTTAACAAAAACATCAATAAATTTGACATATACGTTCTTACTGTTTTTAGTTTATTTCTAAATATTGTTTACAGGTCATAAAAATAGTTGAAAGGTATGTAAATTGGTAACTAAACGATTGTATATTTGATGCATGTTATCTACTTACTTTAGGAATATATTTATACAAGTGAAAAAACGATATAATTTAGGTAAACACAACGAACAAAACGCTCTCAAAAAATCTACTGTCACTTTAATTGTCAGTGGAACCATAATTACATCATCACTGAACCAGCGCAATCCGCAGGAAAGTATATATGATATTGTTGATTTCAAGGGTCAATTTGACATTCACCTGTTTCCTGATGATGCCCTAATATATTTTTCTTGTAAGGATTCAGATAACTTGGTAAGAGTTGTTAATGAAACAGTGCAACATGTTTATAAATGGTGATGCAATAATTTGTTGAAAATTAACACAAATAAAACAAAATGTATGCTGATAAGTAGCAACTATAACTATACACAGTTTGTTGATAAACAATTACAGGAAATTCTACATAGTAAAAAAATTCAAATACTTAGGGGTAATGATTGACAAGCAGATGAGATTCATAGATTATGCCAACACTGTTATCAAAACTAATGCATTTAAGTTCAATTTTCTATTTAGAAGTTCATTTGGCTTATCACAGTGGACTAAATGTATTATATATAATACTATAATTCTACCTCACTTTAATTATTGCTCTACAATACTCTTTTTACTAAATCAAAATTAGTTGAACCAACTACAGAAGCTGCAGAATAGGGCTATGTGAATAATATTATATACTTCCATTAATCTAATGTTTGAAACTTTGAGGTGGATGCCAATCAAAAGTCTCTTATTGCAGCATGCGTTAATTTTTGTTTATGAAATTAAACATAGGTTACTTCCAATGTACCTAAAAGAGAAGCTTAATTATCACTCTAATGTGCACAATTATCCAACGCGGAACAGAAATAACTTTTATATTGAAACAGTTGTTAAGAGTGCAACACAAAATTCACTATTTTTTTAAAGGTCTAAATCAATATAACACACTTCCAGAGAAAATTAAATCAGTAACGTCTATAACTACATTTAAAGTCAAAGTGACAGATTTCTTAATTGATGAATATTTCTCCAGAAACAGTAACAAGCTATAGAATTTTAGTTAGTTTTAATTGTATCTAAATTATCTATGTTTTGACTTATATGTATATGTAAAATTTTACTAAATTTATATATTGTGATATGAGCAAACTAGCTAAATAAAGGAAATAATAATAATATGAGGTATCAATATGTATCTAGTCAAACACAAATATAGACCATGTATAATATCTATATACATGGTACCATGGATGTTAAATATGTATACACAAAACACTTAATATGTTAAATCAGACTGTCATGAATAGTTTCAGCCTAACATGGTCATTATTGGCATACTTAGAGGTTTTTAAACAGTAATACAGTTAAATACAAAATACATCATATGGGTGGTTAAACCAAGGTTAAACAACAATCAAATAAGTAAGAAACTTTTTAACATGTTGACTGCCATGATAATTTTCAGGATTCCGGTCTAAGAAACATATTTAATTCATACATATATATTATAAAAATTATAATTATAGTAATCATCAAAAAGTATAGAGAATGTGTTTTTAAAGACCTTGTGAATTGTTTCATAGTTATAGCTTACATTGGAGTTATGTATGTCTAAATTCGAAGGTAGTAAATCATAAATGATAAAAATACTAGTTTGTTTCTTGATTTTGAATAAATTTATGACACTACAAATTTGATTGCAGCTGCACAAATATGGCAAGTAAAAGTACAAGATGTTGTAGTCAGCATAATAGCCAAAGAACACAAACTACTAGTTAACTTGAAGTTAGCAGTCAACGTGTTAAGTAATGTTGAAAAAAACATTGTCCCCCTTGATCAAGTGTTATGCTCATGTGATTCTAGTAGAATATAGTTTTATTTGTTTTTAAATACAGTAAAAAGTATAATATATAGCCAGCTGGAAGTGTCAATTTTTGTTGGACTGTGATAATGGATTGTATAATTCAAAGTATTCTTTACCTTCTTAACCGTTGAGCAACGACACATTCACAATGATAAGCCCACACTTTCAAAACGCTTTCCTTAGGTTTTCTAGGAAGGAAGGGTTTTGCTAAAAACAATCCAAAGATATGTCTCCTCTTGATGATACCTTGAAATTTCTTATTCAATTGTTCAAAGTCCTTAAAATCATTGAAATTTCGTCGAAAAAAACTATACTTTTGTGCAAACAGTTTCTGATATTCCACTTTTAAAAGGACATTTTTGAGGTTAGAATTCAGTGGGATCCAAAACTCGCTCAGTCTTCTTGGAAACATTCCTTGTGATGCCGATACGATTTCCTTTTTAAATTAAAAATTCACTGCTAAAAGAAAATGAACATGAATTAAATATTATGGGATATTACTGAAATTTTGACAGCCATGCTTTTCGCAGAATGTTAAATCAATCGGTTAAAGGTGGTACTAATTTAGCAGCAACTGTGGCGAATCAAGGGTAAATAAAACAAGTTTGTTAATTAAATCACGTGGGATTGGTTAATTTTAACAATTTATCAATTCATATTCCAAATCCAATAACTTTTACCAGTTTGAAAGAATATAATGCGATCTTGAATTTTTAATAATTATGATTTAATATGTTTTGCCCTTTTATTATTTCCAAGCACATTTTATGCCACTTTTTATTTTAATTAAATAAAAATAGGTTAATTTATATTATAACAACTAAACTATAATTATTTTTATTTTTTTCATAATTTTTTTACGTCTTAAGGCACCTTAAGGTAAAAACAATACGACGTATCATTGACATTTTCCACTTTAACTTTATTTACCGACACGACTGCATATGCGAGTCTGTCTTTTATTGGTTGACGCAAAAATAAATAAAATGCAAATTACACCTTGCATCTCTTGCTTAATCAAGTTCAAGTAGTTCGTTAGGATGTATAGTTCTGACTTTCGAATTGTAAAATGTCAATTTACTAGATTCAAATCATGGTCTTTACAGTGATGTTGTTAGGAATTCATTTTTTAAAAGAGAAATGGATGTGCTTAGTGAGATAAGTTTCATCTTTCCGATTTAAAAATTAAATGAAATTTCAAACACCGAAAATTTTGAGTGCAGGTGCAGAACGATTATTGAACGCACCTGAATAGGAGAATACGTTGCCATGTTGCCAAATATAACTTTCGGGATCCTGTATTTATTTATAGCAAATGCAAAAAATGCCAGACCAAGTCTGAAGTTCACAATCACAAAAGTATTAATAGATACAATTTTTTTGCACCACGTTCACTAACCAGTTCAACATATTTTCTGTTGGTTCTCCAATGCCAATGTTATTTTAAATTAAATGCATAATATTTTGAAAGGACCAATCAATAAGTACAGGACCGTATTCAGAATGTTTGTAAATCAATTTCTGTAAATTATTTAGTACCTACCCAGACAGCACACCAAATCCTTTGGATATCTACTGGACATCCCAATATCCATCCACTGAATGTTCAGTCCATGGTGGATATCTATTTTATATCCATGAGATGTAATTTATAGACATGCAAATGTCCATAAATAATAGTAATTATATAGCAAATTATTACAAAATTACGCCATTGTGCTAATAGTACCTTTCAGATATTTAAAATTTTGTTTTTTAAGGTGTATTCAATATCCTATGGACATCCACTAAATATATCAAAGTCTAGGCGCGAACGCAAACCATGGTGGATATCCACTAGATGTAATTTGAAGTATAAATGGCGATACCACTTTCGCTCGTTGAATATCTACTCATGCTCAACCCGCCGTAACTGAGTTCGAAAAATTTTAAATGCATTTTGCAACTTTATTTTTAGTCCGATTTTTGTGAAATGTTCAAGAAGTACTAATAATTACCAAACTTAGGGTGGAGAAATCTTGAATTTTTTTTGAACCTTCGATAAATATTTATTTTGTTAATTTTTAAAGGGAAAATTAAAAAAAAATTTCCACGCTATTCAGTATTAAATCTATGAAAACTTGCAGCTTTTGTTTTAATAAATATCAAGTAGTTTAAAAAAAACTGCTTTCCCACCTTTTTCTAAAATATCTCTGCAGAGTGCTGCCATATCGTTGCAAAAATTTAAAGCTCTCAATTCTACCGAGAAACAATCAATCGCGAAGTATTTCCAGTGGCGCACTTATAAATACAATTTCATATTAGAAAATTTTAATTTTTAATGTTTTTAGTATTTAGTGGCGTGAAAGTGTTTATCTAAATATTTTTAATATAATCAAAATTTCATACAAGATAATCAAAAATCTTGTGACTGCCTACAAAGCCACATAAATAAAAATTATTATTGTTATCATTATTCAGACATAAATCGTTTTCTCCATTTAGAACTGTTTTTAAACAACAGTGATAAAAGGTTCAAAAACGTGTTTTTGAAGGTCTGTGGTATTCATTTCAGGTCATATAAGTAGTACAAAATATAAAAATACCTATCTTTTTAAATATAATCTATATATGTAATAAAATATAGGACATTCTATAGGAAAAAAAAACATTATGGCATTATGGAGATACGCATACGAAATTTGAAAATATCCTCTTAAATGTAAGAATTTTTTAAAATTTTTATTGATCGAATAAAAATCCATCGTTAACTAATAAAATTTGTACAAAATGACTAAGGATAAGTAGGATAAATCTGTGTTTATAAAACGCGGACGTAAAGTAAATGCGGCCAAAAAAGTGACACTTTAGGGATGTCCATAAATCCATAAAGTGTCGCCTAAAAACGTGTTTTTATTAATTATTTGATACTTACCTGTACCCGTAAAAAATTTGATTATCTATTGTTCTACAATCTATTTTTATTGAATTTTACGCACACCACTGGAGTGGTCTACCAGACATTTCTTATCTATATTTTCACCTACATCATTATAGTGTTATCATTATCAATATCATTAATTATTTTTATATTAACTGTAATAGTGCTTAGGTGTTCAAAAAAATCTAATACCGTTGCATAGAAGTTCAACATGTCTGACATACCAAGTGTCGTCATTATTGGTGCGGGAGCCTCTGGAATAGCAGCTGCTACTAGACTTTTCGAAAATGGAATAGATAATTTAACAATTTTAGGTAAGAGCAAAGACTTTTTAGGTGTATATTATTTATATTGTAAAATAGTACTAACAAATAATTGTTTAATTTTTAAATTCTTCTTCCATAAAAAAAAAGAATGAAAAAAACATAAACTACTATATTATATAAAATGTTAATAGTACACGGAAAGAAATTACATTTATTAGTACTTACAAACCTATGAAAAACTATAAATATATATTAAATTTACTATTGATAAAATTTGCGATAAACCCATAATTAATATATTTTTCTTCAAAACAATTCTGTATTTTTATTTGATTGTATATTTTTAATCTTGGGTCATTAATTATTTGTATTTTGTACCTACACTTGAATTCGGTAGAAAATTCATTCTATATAAACATTTTAGAAGCAGAAAACCGTATTGGAGGAAGAATACACTCGATAGAATTCGATGGTAGTATCGTTGATTTGGGAGGACAATGGGTACATGGTGAAAAAGGAAACATTGTCTACGAAATGGTTAAAGATCTTGATTTACTTAGTACTTCTTTCAATACCTATCACGACAATACTTATTATTTATCTGACGGAAGAAAATTAGATAAAAATATTACTGATAAGCTATTTAAAATCGGTAAGGAAATTATGGAAAATGAAGAAAGTGCTCTTAAATATGGAGGAAGTTTTGGTAGTTATTTTGTTAATGTGTAAGTGGTTTTATTGGTAATATGCAAACAATATGAAATTGGTGAATTAATTATTAGGTACTCACATTCTTATTCTGCATTTTTTTTTATATTCCACAATCATTGTGTTTTCTTGCCTTTCCAAATATAGTTTTATCTTATAGAAAATGTTCAGATTAGCCTTCGATTTTCTTTTACAAAAAATACACCTAGGGTCTTAGTACAATAGAAAAATATATATACAGGGTGGTCCATATTTGTAAAAGTAAAGTAAACGTCACCCCTTTTTAATTTTTTTAAATAGAAAAGGGTAGCGTATGATACCTCATTTTAAAGGGTTTTTAATTCCCTATTCAGCAGTATAAGATTTTTTGTTTTTTGTACATTTATGTTCAAGAAACATCAATTTTTATTTTCAACTATTCTATTAATACTACTACAATTTTATGGTATTAAATGACTGCCGTTAACTTCTTGACAATAACCAATGCGGTTATTAAATTCTTAAAGAACATCTTATGTATGACGTTCGGGCCAATTTTTTCAATTTCTTCGATGATTCTTTCTTTTAATTCGTCAATAGTCTCCGATCGATTTAAATACACTTGAGACTTTAAGTGGCCCCAGAGAAAATAATCAAGCGGCGTTAAATCGGGAGATCGAGGTGGCCATTCAATGGCTCCACGCCTGCCAATCAATCTGTTAGGAAATACTTCATCCAAGTAGTCTGCTCTCACTCCACGTGCAAAATGTTGGAACCAAACATTTCTATCTGTTTCAACTGGATTGTTATTATCAGGATACAGAACTTGTAATTGAGGTACCAAAAAATTTGTTAAAAAATATAAATATCCTTCACCTGTCAGAGAGCCATCAAAAAAGTAGGGCCCAATTATTTTATTTTCAATAATACCACACCACACATTCACTTTTTAAGGAAACTAAGTGTGAGTCTCCATTATCCAATGAAGATTTTCTCTGCTCCAATAACGAGAATTGTGTCGGTTGACAGTACCATTTAAGTAAAACGTTACTTCGCCCGAAAAAAGTATTTTTTGTAAAAACTGCACATCTGCCTGACATCTGTTCATTATTTGTTCACAGAATTGTAGCCTTCGGTCTGGATCGTCCTCAGATAACTCCTGTACCAACTAAATTTTATAGGGATGGTACTTTTCTTTGTGTAAAAAACGCAAAATTGTTGTTTTACTGACGTTGTGTTCGGCAGCAAGTTGTCTAGTAGATTTATGCGGATTTTCTTCAAGGGCTATCTTAACATCTAATCGTTTATCCTCATAAACTTTAGGGGTTCTTCCTGCGTTACGAACTTGCTTCACATGCCCAGTACTACGAAATTTCTTTGCTACTTTGTTAACTGTAGACTGTGAAATATTATGTCCTGGATATTTAGTATTAAATAATTCACATACCTCCCTATGCGTTCGTTTTCTATTGTCACAACCAAGCATTATTAAAATATCTATTTTCAGATAAATACGCCATAACGACTGTTCATAAAATTGAACTAATTATAATCGTCAATTGTAAATAAATGTTCCTTGCTTTCCATTGTAGCAGAATAGCAAAAGTTTTTCATAAAAAGCTCGGTTTAACTTTTTATTGCCATTTTTTTACATGGTCTAAGATAAGATAGAAATATTATTAATAGAATAGTTCGGGGGCTGGTTAAAAGCTTTAAAAATAAAAATTGATGTTTCTTGAATATAAATGTACAAAAAACAAAAAATCTTATACTGCTGAGTAGGGAATTAAAAACTCTTTAAAATGAGGTATCACATTCTATTTAAAAAAATTAAAGGGGTGACTTTTACTCCGAAGGGGTTAAAGGGGGAGATAAGTAATTTTGTTCAGAAAATGTCATTTTAGAAATAAAAATCGACCTCAAAACGTAATAATAAAGCCAATAATTAATATATTCCACAAATATGGACCACCCTGTATGTAGAAATCAATAAAAGAAATAAATAAAGTAAAAATTAATAATGCTTTTAGTTTCAAAGAAAAAATTTTAGAACAATTTAAAAATGACGAAGAAATTATAGAATTAGCCAAATTTATGCAAGACTGGTGCCAAAAATTTTTTATCTGCTTAGATTCGGCTAAATCATGGTATGATATCTCGGTTAGAGGAGCGATGTCTGTTTTTCAACCATGCGAAGGAGATCAACTACTTAATTGGAGAAATAGAGGATTTAGTACTATCTTAGATGTATTGATGGTGAGTTTATTAGAAAATCAAATAAAACATTCTGTATATCAGCAACTAACTAGCTTAAAGACCCATTTGGTTCAAAATAGGTTTTTAGCTATGGTTGTCAATATACTATTAAGGAATTAAGGTAGCACTGGCACCAGTCATAGGGTCCTGGAGTCCAGAAGGAACATATATTCATCAGTGGCAAATAAATAAATAAATAAATAAATAAATAAATAAATAAATAAATAAATAAATAAATAAATAAATAAATAAATAAATAAATAAATAAATAAATAAATAAATAAATTAAATAAATAAATAAATAAATAAATAAATAAATAAATAAATAAATAAATAAATAAATAAATAAATAAATAAATAAATAAATAAATAAATAAATAAATAAATAAATAAATAAATAAATAAATAAATAAATAAATAAATAAATAAATAAATAAATAAATAAATAAATAAATAAATAAATAAATAAATAAATAAATAAATAAATAAATAAATAAATAAATAAATAAATAAATAAATAAATAAATAAATAAATAAATAAATAAATAAATAAATAAATAAATAAATAAATAAATAAATAAATAAATAAATAAATAAATAAATAAATAAATAAATAAATAAATAAATAAATAAATAAATAAATAAATAAATAAATAAATAAATAAATAAATAAATAAATAAATAATAAAAAAATAAAATAAAAAAAAAACAATATCCCTTAATAGGCCGTTGCTTAGAGCTGGTCGAAAATTATGTCGACCCATTTGTCCCAAAACTCCCTTTAATTTGGGGCAGTGCTTCGTATAGCTCCCTCTCATCTGTTGTCCTGTCATGGACACTGCTTGGGGTTTGATTGGAAAAATACATAGATGCATTGTCCCAAACTTTCTTTTTTTTTGTAGCACTGTGTGTGACTCCCTTTTTTTGTGGTCCTGTCCTGAACAATGCTTGGGGATTGATCGAAAAAATATCTCGATCCTTTGTCCCAAACTTTCTTCATTTCTTCCTGTCTTTCTCCTGGAACTCTGCTTTTCCTCGTCGCATATCTAAAGTATATTATTCACATATATTTTAATAACTGCTATATACCATTTAAATTATTCTGTTTGAATCTATTTTACCTCTTTAAATCTTGTAAGATGTAATTAGTTGTATATGTTATACTTTTGTCTGTCTTTTTTCTTTTCCTGCCTGTAGAACACGTCCTCTTCCTCCCTAAACTCTGTTGCTGCTGGCTTGGTAAACATCTCAATTTTTACTAACACACAATTTAAACCGTAAAATACTATATATTCCTGTAAGAAAAATATTTGAGATTGCCAATTTTTTCATTGTCCCGTCTCCACTTCTGATATGGCTCATTAATAATGCAACACCCTGTACGTTAACAAATATTTTTAGAAAAAAATTCCGGATTCTACAAAACAACTTCCTATCGAAGATAAGATTCTTCTAAACAAGGAAGTTACACGAATCGAATGGGATGGGGATATGGCCCAAACTGATTCAAAAGCAACAGTGACATGTGGAGATGGCTCTGTATACGCAGCGGATCATATAATTATCACAACGTCAGTAGGTGTGCTAAAGAAATTCCACAAAACTCTGTTTATTCCTGAAGTTCCACCATATAAAGCGAATTCTATCGAACATATTAGTCTTGGAACTGTTAATAAAATACTGTTAAAGTTCCCTGTGAAGTGGTGGGGAGACGATACCAAAGGATTTAGCTTACTATGGACAGAAGAAGATAGTAAAAATTTAGTAAACGATGTACCTGTTTTTGGACCTACCGATGAACATGGTAGGTCATGGCTAGAAGATGTATTTGGATTTTATATCATCGATAGTCATCCCCGTGTATTGCTAGGATGGGTTGTAGGAACAATGGCGGCTGAAGTTGAGCAGCTTACTGATGAAGATGTAATGATGGGTTGTATGACTATTTTAAGGAAATTTGTAGGAAATAAATATGATATACCAGAGCCTGATGGAGTATTGAGGTAAACTTCTTTATAATAAACTAAAAAACTAATAATTTCATTCAAAATGTTTTTATTTTTAGATCACAGTGGAACAGTAATCCACATTTTTGTGGCTCATATGTTTATACGAGCATAGATCAAGAAAACAACAATGCTTCAGCAAACGATTTAGCTAAACCTCTAATTTCTAAGAGGTCAAACAAACCAACTGTACTTTTTGCCGGAGAGGCTACTAGTTCAAATCAGTATTCAACTGTTAATGGTGCTATAGAAACAGGTTATAGAGAAGCACAGAGATTGATTCAATTATATAATTAGATAAAATGCACATACCAACATTTTTTATTTATTTTATTATGTATTTTTAAATTTTTTGTTCCTATTTCTTGTACGTCTATACTATTTCAAGTTACTTAATATATTATTTTTTTATTTGTTCTGCAAATTCGATAAATCCAGCCCTGCTCCCTCATTGCGTTTCTTTCATCTTGTTTATTATTAATTAATACAAATTAAGTATGGACTATTTTCACCTATACAAGACAAGAAAATAATGACTATTTTATCGTTTAGGTGTCCAATGTAACCGAAAAATATTAGTGGTAGGTAATTTAAAATAAATAATTCACCAAATCTATAATTATCTTTTAAAGAATGATATTTAGGGTTTTGAACAAAGGAGAGAGAAAAATAAGACTATAATTCCAAATGTACAATGTTATATTTGCTTACTTGCAAACACTAAAACTAAAAGAAAAGGTTATATATAGAGGGTAGAAGTAGAGAGAGAGGACAGAGAGAGAGAGGACCACATGTATGTGGAGAGGACAGAGAGAGATGTTTTATAGTTATAAAAAAATTTATATAAATTGTCCTGAGGAACCTTTTAAAACAATTTTGTGACTCAACATCTGTCAAAGTATGTGAGAGCTTGTTCTACATTTTGATACCATTATAAAAAAGTTTCTTATAAGTTCAGTTTTGGGAACAGCCAACTTCAAGTTACCCTTTTGACGAGTTACACGGGGATATATTCGATTTATATTTGGTCTTGTTCTTTTATGGATCATGTAACAAGTTTCTAAGATAAATAATGAAGTTAATGTTAATATTTTATGTTTTATGAACAGCAATCTACATGAAACCAATCTGTGTGCTTCATATAAGAACCTTATTGCCCGTTTCTACATTATAAAGACTCTACCAAATATCTCGGTAGAAAAAAACACCCCAAAACTAAACAGCATTAACGTAAATGGGAATTGACTAACGCCTAATATGCAGTTTTTGCTGCTCAAACTCCTAATTCATGAGAGTTTGTTCTAATGGCATAACAACCCGTTGTGAATTTTTTTAAAAATGGATCTACATGAGAATGAATTTCAAATCAGTGTCAATATTTAAACCTAAAAATTTTCTAGAGTCTGTTACTTCTATAGTATCCATAATTAAAATATCAAGAATATTTACATTCAAAGGTAGATTTTTCTTTTTAAATTAATGAAAGAAAATTTGCAGTGCACCATGTTTTAAAATATTTGAGATCATTACTAATATTTGCCTGAACAATTTTGACGTCTTTATTCTGCCACAAGATAGTAGTATCGTCAGAAAATAGGGTGAAACTTCCTGAAATATTTAACTTACCTAAATAGCTTATATAAATTAAAAACAGGGTGGGCCCAAGAGTGGAACCTTGAGGGAAATTCCATTTTATGTCGCTTATTTGCGAGTTTGAAACAGTTCGGACTAACTACGACCTAAAAGATAGGATTTAATCCATCCCAAGACCACATCTATTATACCGTAATCTTAAAGCTTTCGCAGCAGTACTCCGTAGTGGACACAGTCAAAAGCATTAGATCACAAAATACTGCAGCTATATGGCCCCGTTGAAATGTATACTTGTATAGGCTAATTCCAAACAAGAAAAACGGCATCTGATACGTTTTTATTATTTATTTATATTACTTTTTTAAACTGTGCACGGTAGCTCCATGTACATGTATACAAACAAACAAAATACAGAAAAAAATATAAAATTAAAAAGTTATTCTGGATTTATGGAAGAAAATTCTATATAAATCTCTATGCAGCGATATTTTTAGTTTCAAGGATATTAATGGTAATTGAAAACCAATTCTTTGAAGATTTACTATTAATTTTTGGACTATTTAATATTCTTCTTACAGGTAAGAACAATATGTTCAAAATCACAAATTTTCTCTTCTTATTTTTATTTTAAAAAGGTAAACTGGAATTTATAATGTCCAAATTGTAATCTCGTTATAGTGATATATAGTGGTCTAGCAAGCGCGGCTTCAAGATGAATTTTCGGGGGGGTTCTTGCCTTTAACCATTCCCTTTTTAGCATATTTTTTTGAATAAAAGGCCCACAAATCGTAAGAATTTTCATTTCGGGTGGCCATGGTTCCCATAGCATCCCCCCCTGGAGCCGCCCTTGTGGTCTAGAGACATAATATTTAAGATAATTAATTTTCATTTAATCAATATAATCACTAGTTTTTTGCCATCTTATAATTATTATTAGGTACATATACAACTTGCCTATTTTTATTTAAAAAATGTTATGATCACTTTTTTTTTGGTATTGTTAAATGTTTTTACGTTCATAAAAGTTTATTAAATAATAGTTAATAGCCTAATATTAATCATAAGAAAATAAAATCATCAATCAATGTAGGTATATAAATATACTGCATTCTGCTTCAATTTAATTTAGCTAAATCCAACCCTGTCTTTCTAATACAAGCGTGCAGTGTGCACCTACAACTTATACAACCCACTATACGATCCGGTAATGTGTGTTGCTTTGCTTTGTCTGTGTTTGCGTTCCTGTCATCTTATTATTAAACAATTCAAATTAAATAATAATCCAAATTTACTGATTACTTCCACTTGCAATAATGGAAGAATCTAATAGTTATTTCATAATTTAGATAGAGTGGCCTATTTTCAACCGAAAAAAACAGTGTTTACTTGAAATTAACTAGTGCAATGAATCATTGATTTTGTTTTCAGGCAATGAGGTTTGGTGGTTTTTATCTTTGATTCCTCTATTATTATTTATTATAGAGTGAATTGAAGGCTAGAATGTACAGTACAGTGTAATATGGACTGAAAATTGTGTTTATAAAAATGAATAATTACATGCAAAGACTGGGTTTAACAGCATGGCGAAAGAAAACAACAATCCTGGTAGCCTCAGGATTTCTATCATTAATTATCTTTGGATTACAATTTTCTAGATTAGAAGACAACAGCAATTTAAGTGCGATATTGAAAGACGAAAAAGATGCAGAGGTAGTCGCAGCAGCGCTAGCGAAAAGTATAAATAACGTAAGATTCATCGAATCTTCAAATAAAAATAAAGTATCAGTTACAGAATTGGATGATGAAGTATTGAATGATATCACAATCAAAAGAGAAGCTAAATCTGAAAAACAAACGGAAAATGTACAGATGGAACAGCAACTTGGTATACCCTATGTCAATTTGGATCCGAAAAATCCTTATATTCCAAAAACCAGAATAGTTCATTTGGATTTCAAGGGAGCACCTCCAGTTATTTCATATTTGAAGAAATTTTTTCCACTAATTAAGCAAATGGGAGCGACTGGAGTGTTATTAGGTAAGCTACAATAGTGTTAGTGTGATTTATGTAATTTTGGAGTTGTTTAACACGTTAAGTGCCACAGTAGAATCTGAAAATTTGGTCCACTGGGCCAAATCATTATTATTGTTAAATGTGCTTGTTAGAATCAGTTTCACTAGAACTTTCCCTCAAATTCTATGATTTTTTATTTTCTTTTTGAGGTAAGGTAAACATACCAGTCTTCAACACAATTAAGATATTTTTTTAATTAAAAATAAATATAGACTAATACGTAAACCTAAGATATTTTTCATGTCCACTAAAAGATGTGGGGGGGTTTATATGAATAACCAAACGCAGTTTTAGCAACAGTAAATACAGTTTTCATGTAAGTGGAGAGAAAAAATAAATGGCTGTAAAATGACCAATTATTGACACCCAAAGTCCAATTATTGACACCCAGTTATTGATACTTTATGAGATTGAAATTAACTAAATAAAAAATAACTATAGATAATAACTGCTTTAAAATTATGTATTTATTAAATAGTTAGGTAGTTACTTAAGATATTAAAGTATTCAAAAATGTAAACATATATTATAATCAAAACTTATTAACTGAAATTCTCATTAACAAAATCATTGTAATAATCAAGAGCATTCTAAAAAACAAATAATAATCAGGAACATTCTAAAAAACAAATAATAATCAAGAGCATTCTAGAAAACAAAACTTAAAAATAAAAGAACCAAAGTATATCTAGAATAATACAGACACAAAGATATTCACTAGATATTACATAGTTATGAAGCCTCATAAACATCAACAGGTTTTTCAAACTTATATTTGATCCTGTCTCCAGAGGTAAGTATATCTGGAGAAGGTAGTTTTCCCAATAAAGCTCTTGTATTAACTGTAGAAGTGTCATTTTCATGGCTCTTACCAGGACTGTAAGAATTTCCTTTTAATCCCCACCAACTAAGTATATATTTTTGTCACCTTTACATGCAAGGACCTTGTTACTTTGAGGTTTAAATAAAATGCTCTTTTGTTAGCATTGAAAACTTTTTTGTAGTCATTGGCCACTTTTAAAAGATCTTTGGCAAATAGATATTCTTTTATTTCATTAAACCAATTTCTGTCACACATTTCCTTGCTGGAGTCAAATTTTGTGCTACTCTTGGGGAATATCTGGGTGCCTATGAAGAAATGATTTAAACCATTTGTCTCCAAGATGGTTGTAGTTGTGCCTTCTAGCAAAAAATTTTTTCTTTAACCTATCTATTTATTAACATTGTTTTAGTCACGGGAAAGAGTTACTGCTGAAGTAAAAGAATCCATTGTTTTAAAATCTTTTCCTCTTGTGAAGTTAAAATGGTTGAAGGTCCCATAGAACATACTCTCAGTTTTTGGTATGGCAGTCTTTTTTGCAACTACAGCTACTGGTACACCACTAGCTACAGATTGAAGCATTTGAGCCATTGCTTCTGCAGTATAATATTTCTTTGTGGCCATTATCTAAAAAATAAAATAAAAATCAATAACTAGAATAGCCTGTGTCCAGTGATTGACACTTTTTGTCAAAAACTGGAATTAGTTATCACAAAGAACAAAATCAAGGTTTGGCAACAGTACCAGGTTATGTAGAATTCTAAGCTTGAATTTAGAACTACAATATGTAGTAGACCTGTTGACACAAATGTCAATTACTGAAAAATGTTATTTAATCAGAGCCAGTGATTGACAAATCAGCTGAAAGCCTTGAAATGATTCAAAGTTATGTTTTAAGAGATTTACATGATTCTCTAATATATACCTTAAAGAGTAGTACAAAAATAATTCTCATATGTTAAAAAATAAGGATACAATACTACACTTATTTACGTTGTCATCTCAAAAACCACCATGGTATTTAATGGTGAGAGCACGGATTCGCAGCCGTGTTTAGGCAGCGTTGTCAAATGTATTTAGTAACATATGTACTTGGTAATTTCAAAAAAAGATGTAGGTTCCTTAAAAAAATAATAAATAATGTCGATTACTGGCAGAGTGTTGAAGACTAGTCAGTTTACCTTACTCATTATTTACTCATTTTTTGCAAGTCAAAACTCGCTTGTAATCACATCCTTTTACATGTTATGTGTTATTAAGTATTCAAACCTGTTTCTATTGTACATACAGTTGTCCAAATAACTGTTTGTAAACTAGTTAACATCAAATTTTGCGAAGTTTCGCTATGAAGTGGAGCAAAAAAGACTTGCACAATTGTGGAAGGAAATATTTTGTAAAATTTTACAAACAACGTGTTTTGTGGGGTTTTTATTTCCAATAAAGTATATTTTGACATAATAATAGAGCCAGTTTTATTTTTATCTTAAGAATCCAAAAAAAAAAACAGCAAAAAATATTCAAAATTCACAGACCGACATCAAGGTCTGGTCCCTCAGGCCATGTAATTTCAGCTCCTATAAAAAAATCCTATCAGCGAAGCATACAATTTGACATAGCATGTGTGTCACTAGGCCCAAATTGACAAATTATACCTAATGACCAGATTATTATCTCGGAAACCTGCCGATAGATGGCGCTAATGTCACCATTTTAAAGTACACCTATATAATTAATAAATAACTAGAAGAAGGCACCTTTCCTGAAATATTTAAGATCTCAATAGTTCCGCCTATAATAAAGGGACACCACAAGAATTGTGCAATTATCTACCAATTTTTGGTCATTTAAACATTTTGTTTTTAAATTTGCGAATACATTATGTTAATGTAACTATCATCTTGTTTTTGGAGAAGATACTTGAATCAATTGAACACAGTGACAGACCTACAGGTACCTGTGATCTCAACAGGTCTTTCAACATGATGTTTTTCTACATAAATTCTACTCTTATGGAATTAGAGCTATTCAAAATAATTGGTTTGAATCCGATATTGAAGATCAACTCCAATCAGTTAAAGTTAATTATTCAATGTAGGGATACTTCAGGGGTCAGTGCTAGCACCATATTGTTTACCATTTATATAAATGAACCCACTGAGCTATTCGGTTAGGCATTTACAATACTATATACTTATAGGTTAAGTGGAAGAGAGGACTTACCCTGCCTTTTGGTGAATATTTGTTCTTAGCCAATTAAAGCTTTTATTATTATTATTATTATTATTATTATATGCTCTAAAATTCAGAAGAAGAATTACTGAAAAATACTCTTGTAATTAATATCTACCATTTACGTATGCTTCCATCCTTACAAAATACAAAATCTCCTAAATATCAATGCAAATAATAATTCTTTTTACAGCCCCATTGCTGTTTTTTAATTGAGACTAAAATAATACCTACCTACTTTAAAAATATTTCAGAATATGAAGACATGTTCCCTTTTTCTGGTTTCTTGAAAAATATATCTGCAAAAAATGCTTACTCTGTGGATAACATCAAAGAAATTTTAAGTTTGGCAGAAAGTTCTCAGTTAGACGTTATACCATTAGTGCAGACGTTTGGTCATGTAGAATTCGCTTTAAAACATGCGGAGTTTGCATATTTAAGAGAAGTCAGTAACAGCCCACAAGCCCTATGTCCGAGCAGAAAAAGTTCTCTGGATTTTATCACAGAACTAATTAATCAGGTAAAATATAATGCCAATTCAATAAATTATTTTGAAATTAACGTTTTTAATAGGTTATGGCTCTACATCCTAAGGTAAAATACCTTCATATTGGCTGTGATGAAGTCTTTCAAATGGGGGAGTGCGATTTATGTCGTTTGGAAATACACGAAAATCTCTTTTTGAAACATATAAAAAATGTCGTCGATATAGTTCGTATTAAGTATCCATCAATTAAAATTATAGTATGGGATGACATGTTACGACATATCTCTCAACAGTCTATGCTTGATGCTAAAATTGGAGAATTGGTAGAACCAATGGTGTGGGTGTATGCAGAGGATATTTACAGGTAAAAAAAATTAATTTGATCGTTCTAGTCTAAGAAAAGACCACAAAATTAAAGGGATGAGTTACTTACTCTTACTTACTCTAGATTAACCATAGTTGCATGAATTGTTAGATAAAATTTTGGCGCCCAACGTGGGGCCACTGTTCAAAAAGGGAGCCAAATAATAGTCGAAAGTCAAAAGGCGTGTTTATAAAGTTTTAAGTTCTAAGAAAAATATTTCTAGTTCATACCCTGCTAATATTTATTAAAATTAAGATTTGATTGTTAGTACTTACAGGTAAAGGATATGAGGCAAGCTCTGAGTAATTGGTTGAAATTGGAGAGTAGTGGTACAAGTTTTCTTTGAAGTGGATTATAGTTATGTACAGGAAAAAGTGATTTATGCTGTTTAATATTTTTGGAGGAAGAATAAAGAGGGGGCTGTCAGTTTTCATTTGAAAGTGCTTCTATTTAAACGCAATATAACAATAACTAGGGTTGCCTCTGTTCGCTCTCACTCCAAAAATGTAGCACCGAAGTTTGTTGTTATTGTGTAAAACCTCAGCAAACCATGGTTGGTCTGGTGTTTAGTAATACCCTAAAATAATTCTTCTTCATTTCTGAGACTATAATTATTTAGGTTTGTTCAACCTACGATATGGGAGAAATATGCAGCAGTCTTTAAAACAGCATGGTCAGCATCGGCTTTTAAAGGAGCTTTCGGAGAAACATTGTACATTCCCAGCGCTCGCAGACATTTAGAAAATACTTTAAGGTGGTTGGATACGATGGCAGCTCAATCTTCAGCTTTCAAACATGGATTATCTGGAATCACTATCACCGGTTGGCAAAGATATGATCATTTTGCTGTAAGTTACACTATTTTATATTGGTAAACAAGAATAGTGACACAATTCAAAAATGTCTATTTTCGAGTGTATTGTGAAAATATTTTTATTTTTCTAAAAATGACCGCTGGAAAGCAGTTGCGTCGTTCTTCCCGTAACACAAAGTTGCGCGTTTATGATGATAAAAGAATGGTATACATTTTGTTGTATTCTGACAGTCAATGAGACAAAATCCTTAATTTTCAGCTAGAGTGACATAAAAATATACTAATAACATTATTTTCAACAGTGACACAAATCAAATTAGAACATTATTGTTGAAAAGGTTATCATTATAGCATGAAATATACTTTTGTGGAATATCGTCATAAATTAAAAAACTATATGAAAATATATTTTTTGGGATTTTTCTTAATATTATCAAAGCAAATTATTATTTAAATACAGGGTGAACACTAATGTTTATTCTCAAAAAAGATTTAAACGTTTTTAAAATGCAAGAAAATAATTTTTTTTTAATAGATGCTTTCGAAAATATTTTTTTTGTTTAATTGTGTCATTATTCTTGTGTACCAACGATGACAACACAACTCAAAAATTTTAATTTTCGAGTTTATTCTGTATGACAAAATTTGCATCGTTCTTTCCGTATTACAAAGTCGCGAATGTATGATAAAAGTGACACAAATCTAGTTGTATAGAGACAGTCAATGAGAGAAAAATTTTCGACTAGAGTGACAAATTAAAATATACCTGTTTAATAAACACTAAGAAAACTATTTTTAACAGTGCCATAAGTCAAATTATGACATTGTTGAAAAGGTTAATTAATATGGTGTGAAATATATTTTTCTGGAAGATCGTCATTAATTCAAAAGAGATAGGTAACAATATTATAATATTTGAAAATAAAATCTATGTTTTTGAATTGAGTTACTACTCTTGTGTACCAAGAGATAAATTGATATGGAAGTTTTGTAATAAAAAATTTATGACGTCAAATTCTAATTAGTTTTTAGTAGTGACACAATTCAAATTACGACATTATTTTTGAAAACGTTATTATTTTGCAAAATATGCTTTTCTGGAATATCGTCATTAAATATAATAAAATTAATGTTTCTGATTTGTGTCACTATTCTTGTGTGCCAACGATATATTAATATAGAAATTTTGTGATAAAAAATGTATGACGTTAAATTATAAGAACATTATTTTCAATAGTGACTCAAGTCAAATTATGACATTGTTAAAAAGGTTAATATGGTGCGAAATAAAAGACCGTCATTAACTCAAAAGAGGGATGAAGATATATTTGAAAATATATAATAAAATTAATGTTTTTGATTAGTGTTACTATTTTTGTGTACCAATGATATATTAATATGCAAATTTTGTGATAAAAAATACATGAGTTATGCTCTAAGAACTTTATTTTCAACAATGACTCGTCATTATTAAAATAATGACATAAGTCAAATTAAGACATTGCTGTTATCAGTATGGTGTGAAATATACTTCTTTGGAAGATCGTCAAAATATAAAAAAGAGGATAAAAATATAATATTTAAAAATATAATAAAATAATGTTTTTGAGTTTTGTCACTATTCTTTTGTATCAACGATATATTGATATGGAAATTTTGTGATCAAAATTTCATGATGTAAAATTCTAAGAACATGATTTTCAATAGTGACACAACTTAAAAATATTTCAGTTCAGAAAAATTAAGCTTTATACTGACAATCTCTGACAATTCATAACTAATAATTACATCTCCATAAAAACTTAAATTTGTCGTCATGAAATTTCCATATCAATACATGGTTGGTACAGAAGAATAGTGACTCAACTCAAAGATATTAATTTTATTTTCAAGCACTATATTTTTGAGTTATGACGATCTTCCGGAGAAGTATATTTCACACAAGACATACATTTTTTAACAATGTCCTAATTTGACTTGTGTCACTATTGAAAATAATGTTATTAGAATTTTTTTGTACCGATATATTGATATGGAAATTTTGTGATCAAAATTTCGTGACGCCAAATTCCAAGAACATTATTATCAATAGTGACAAGTCAAATTGACATTGTTGAAAAAATTATCAGTATGGTGTGAAATATATTTCTCTGGAAGATCGTCGGAACTCAAAAAAAATACTGTAAAAGGGATATAATTAATGTCTTTGAGTTGTGTCACTATTCTTCTGTACCAACTGTACACTGATAAGGAAATTTTGTAATAAAAAATTCATGATGTCAAGTTTTAAGAACATTACTTTCAACAGTGACACAAGTCAAATTAAGACATTGCAAATAAAATTTAAATTTTTTAGTTGTCACTATTCTTGTGTACCAATGATATATCGATACAGAAATTTTGTGATAAAAAATGCATGCCGTCAAATTCTAAGAACCATATTTTCAATAGTGATACAAGCCTTTAGAATGAAAATATAAAATATTTTTGAGTTTTCACTATTCTTTTATATCAACGATATATTGATATGGAAATTTTGTGATGTCATATTCTAAGAATATTATTTTCAACATTGACTTAAGTCTAATTATGACATTGTTGAAAAGGTTAATATTGCGCGAAATATACTTTTCTGGAAGATCGTCATTAACTTAAAAGAGGGATGAAAATATATTTGAAAATATAATAAAATTAATGGTTTTGATTTATTCACTATTCTTGTGTACCAATGATATATTAATATGCAAATTTTGTGATAAAAAGTTCCTGAGTTAAATTCTAAGAACAATATTTTCAACTGTGACTCAAGACATTTTAAATAATGACAAGTCAAATTAAGACGTTATTAGTATGATGTGAAATATACTTCTTCGAAAGATCGTCATAACTTAAAAGAGGATGAAAATATAAAATATTCTTTTTGAGTTTTGTCACTATTCTTTTGTATATTGATATGGAATTTGGTTATTAAAATTTTGCGATGTTAAATTCTAAGAAAATTATTTTCATTAGTGACACAACTCAAAAATGTTTTCAAATATTATCTTTTTGAGTTATGATGATCTTCCGGAGAAGTATTTTTCACACCAGACATAATTTTTTTAACCATGTCTTAATTTGACTTGTGTCACTATTGACAATAATGTTCTTAAAATTTTTTGAAATGGAAATTTTGTGATCAAAATTATCTAATTTTTTTTTCTTCTAATATCTAAATGAAACGGTTTTTGCTTATCCTGTAAAATTATTACGTATAGAGTTAGAAAGTTTACATGTTAGGGTAACGCAATGTTATGTAACTTTTTAGGAATCGTATGTAATGACATAAGCGCACAACTTACCTTTGCACCTTATTGTCTTATTGTGTCCCCTTACTTTTTGTGACAGTCTTAGTGGAAGGCAGGCTTTAAGCTCACACTGACTATGACTTCCTAACAACTTCGGTTGTTTGTATATATACATATTATTATTATATATTTGTCATGATGGAATATCCATATACATATCTATAATACTCCTGCTGTTTAATTTAAAATTTGGGATCATAAAATAAAAGATCTCACACTGTACCATCCGCCCTATTGAGTCTCATAGTATTACTTATTGATTGGAAATTAAAATGTCAGGCTTTCCATATCAACTGATGATATTTGGATTGTTTAATATGTACTAAATATTTATCTTATCAGTTTTTTTTTTAATTAGGTTTTGTGCGAACTCCTACCTGCCGCAATACCATCGTTAGCATTAAGCCTTCTCGCCGCAACTCATGGCTATTTCAATTCATCGTTGAAAGAAAAGTTTTTGAAGGCGCTAAGTTGCCCCGAGCCCAGTATAGACAGTTCACCATTTATCATGTTGGAATCGGATCCATTTCTCTGGGAAAAACTTAGTAGGTAAGGAAATTTTGTATAATATTTCAGAAATATTCGGGAAGCAGTTTGGTAGGAATGATTCTCCTAACTTTTTATTTCAGATGCACATTTCCAGGAAGTCCGGTGTTTAGACTAACAAGCCGTCTACGAAACATCGAACTTGAAGCTAAAGAGTTCCTAGATGTCACTCTGAAGCAAAAAGGTTGGATGACGGCATATAACGTACGCTACAACTATAGTTTAGCTTTAAGAGTTGAAGAGCTGACTTTGGACTTACCGAGGCTCTATCACGGCATGATATCTTTAGCTAGAGCCACCGTAGACGCGATGGACGATATTTTCGATAATTACACCATTTCAGAATGGATAGAGCAGAGGATTTATCCGTATTTAATCGAGTTTGAGAAAATAGAAAACGACAGCGTCGTCCTAAAAAGTGTTAATCATTGGCCTAGCCGGCCGTTGCCCGTTTCGCCGAAAATGCAGAAATTGGCACTCAGCATAGGTTTACACTAATGTAGACGTTTCTATTCAATGTTAAACGATTTAATTTCATCACTTTAATGGATCTCCAGTCTTTTACCTCGCTGCGAATAAATTACGTCGTTTCTCGAGTAGTCACATTGCGCGGTAGGCGGGATCGATAAAAAAAAACGATTTTGTACAGATTTTATATTAAAATCATAGGAAAATTTGTTGTCAATAGGAGGATGTTCTCGCTAATTATAAAATTACGATATTTAGTTTGCTGATATACACTGCGTACCAAAATTAACGTATAATTTTAAAAATTACGTTTCCGGTTGTAATGATTACATCTTTTGTACATTGATGGCTCAATCAAAAACCGCCACAAGTCAAAAAACGAAGAAAATTACATTTTTGGTTTAATGTATTCAAAATATCGTTGAGATTTTATTTTAAATACCGCCACAAATCAAAATATTTTTGTTTTGTTTAGATCTCTTATCGCTCCACTCAGTTCAGCTAAGCTTACCTTCTTATTTACCTTATCTAATTCATGATTAAGGGCGTGAAAATCATCCGTGGTCCTTGGTTTTTCTTTCTGTCTGTTGGTTCCTGTAGCAGCTTCAGATATCGGAGTAAATTTTGGAAAACTTCGGTGTGGGTGGACTCATCCAGTTTTAATTTTGATGTCTTCTTGTATCTCATCATTCTATTTCAATATAAAATATAATTTCTATTTATCATTACTTATCATTATTTGAATTATTTATTTTTACTTTCATTTCAAGGGAACATGTTTAATAATTAACTTAAAATACTTCTTTGACGGTTTAAACCAAAGTGGATTGAACGTATGCGTTAATTTTGGTGCGCAGTGTATTTAACTTGCAAAGTTCGTTTAATCGATAGAGAATTAAAAGATAACTTGTTTCAAAAGTTAGAAGAAAGTGGGTTTAATTATCTGGTATTTATAATACTTTGTAATATCATTTAGATAGAAAACATGATTTTGTTTTAATGTTAATAAGACTGAGTTTGGATAGTAATTAGCCAGAAATCTAAAAAATATAATTCCAACTCTCCTTGTACAATGTTTACATGGATTTTAAATTGGCATTGACGTTAATCTTAGTTGAATTCAAATTTGACAGCCGTTTTTCATTTTTGTTACGTTTCTGCTTAGATTAAGCCGTATTTTAGAGACTTTCAAAACTTCATCTACAAAGCACACACTCAATGTACATACAATCAATTAAAACTTAATATTTGAAGTTGGTAAAAGTGTTAGACAATTAGATAATAGAAAACCTCATAACTATTAAAAATTCAGTGTAGTTCGTAAAAGTCTTTATACTTGAAGCCTTAGACGTGAAATCATCAGTGATAGAAAAAATACTCGTTTTTTTGTATAGGTAGTTATATTTCAGTTTTCGATCTTATGATAGGTTGTATTAGAAACAAACCAAAATTGTGCTACGTAAGAGTAAATATGTTTTGTGATTTTGACTTTTATAGACCATTTAACAAGTTATAGTCGAAGAACAACTTTAGACTGAATTGAAAAAAAAACAGAATAACCATGATTTGCTCTGGTTTTACGCATACGTCAAAATAAACACAAACTTCGATGCTGTATTCTTGGGAGTGTGTGAAAACCTAGTTATTGTTAAAGAAGAGACCAATTGTGTCAAATTAAAGCTGAAAGTTGTCATAATAACAAACAAATTTCGGTGTTACATTTTTGGAGTAAGTGCAAACAAAGGCAACCCTGGTTATTACTAAAAAGCTGGCTGTCAGCTTTCATTTGACACCAATTGTGTCAAAAAAAGTTGACAAATGTCAAAATAACAACAAACTTCGGTGATACATTTTTGGAGTGAGTGCAAATAAAGATAACCTTACTTATTGTTAAAGAAGACGTTATCAGCTCTCATTTGTCACCAATTCGGTCAAAATCGCGAGTTTTGCGAAGGGTAGTTCTATTTTGATGCAATTAGTGTCATAAAACTAGACAGCCTCTTTTTTAATAAAAACTAGGGTTGCCTTTGTTTACACTTTCTCCAAAAATGTAGCACCAAATTTTGTTGCTATATTGATATCTGTCAGCATCCTTTTTGACAATAACTAGGGTTGCCTTTATTTGCATTCATGTAAAAAATGTAGCACTTCAGTTTGTTACTATTTTGCCATCTGTCAGTTTTAATTTAACGCAATAGGTGTCAAATGGAAGCTGACAGTCTCTTTTTTGACAACTAGGGTTGCCTTTGTTTGTATTCACCAAAAAAAATGTAGCATCAAAATTTGTTATTATTTTGACATGTGTCAGTTTTCATTTAAAACGTAATAGGTGTCAAATGAAAGCTGACAGTCTCCTTTTTAACAATAATTGGGGTTGCCTTTGTCTACACTCACTCCAAAAATGGAGCACCCAAGTTTGTTAATATTTTGACATCTGCGTAAACTATGGTTGGTCTGGTTCGGTTTTTTACAGCCAGCTTTTCAGTCCATTACAAGATTTTCGAGATATCAGTTTTTAAAATAAAAAAAAAAAAATTAATTTAAATAAGATATTTTAAAATATTTTGAAATTTATCATTTATTAAATAAAAAAGGATGTATGAAAGTAAAAATTTACACAAAACATGTCTTCTCTTAAGTAAAATTACTTTTAAGTTTATATTAAAAAAAAAATAGAAAATATGCCAAAGACGTTGATTCAAAATATTTTTTATAAATACGTTTTTTTGTATCTATTTTAAGTTAAATTATCGACTTTGGCACTTTTTACGTCTCACTACCGAATACATAATCAATTTCCAAAAAAGTCTGATGCACACACAACCAAAGTTCAACTTCTTTTCTACCAAAGATGCGAGTGAGAGTGAGATAATAAATTTCATTAATTGTATGCAACTTCTAATATAAAATTGCAATGCTTTTATTATATTATTTACACGCTGATCAGTCCTTTTACATGGTTATTACCGCAGTAATTCGTTTCTGTAATATCCGTCATTAAAAAGTTCTATCCTATCTATTATTTTGATTTAACATAATTGACTTAAAATATAATATAAAAACCAATAAATCGTAACTAGGTTGGCCATAAATATCCCTGCGCTCATTCGTTACAAAAAGAGTAGATAGACTTCAATTTTATCGTTTTTTCCCCAGATCTGGGGAAATTTATAGAGTAGATCTAGCAACACCGGCATTCCTAATAATTACCCAGAAATTTGTCATTAAATAGCAACACCGCTTCTCCAGTAAGCCGACCAGATTAGATAGATCGTTTAGACAGATAATGGGTAAGCGTAGGACTTAAGGGTCAACAATTCTGGAGAACATCGAGGAATGTGGAGGCAAGTTGTTCCATATGTACTAAAATGTTACATGAATTGTATTATTTCACTAATTTCGCTACTTATGAAGTACCATTTGAAAGTACATTATATTAGGATTTTTTCCCAGAAATGTGGAAATTTTTAGAGATTTGGCAACACCGCATGCTTTAATGATAAGACTCCCTAATAATTACCCAGAAACTTGCCATTAAAACGGGTAAGAGTTTGGTTCAAAGGTCAACAATTCTGGGGAAAAGCGAAAGTGGAGTCAAGTGGCTCCATGTCTACTAAAATGTTAAATGAATTTTATTTTATTTCACTACTTTCATAACTTATGTGTTATTTAAATTTATGAAGTACCATTTAAAAGTGCATATTAGGACTAGATTTTCATCGATTTTTCCCCAGGTATGGGAAAATTTGTAAAGATCTGGCAAGACCACATACTTCAATCCCAAGATCTCCTAATAATTACCCAGAAACTTGCCATTAAATAGCAACACCTCTTCTCCAGTAGATCCCTTAGACAGATAACGGGTAAGGTCAACAATTCTGGAGAACATCGATGAAAGTGGAGTCAAGTTGTTCCATATCTACTAAAATGTTAAATAAATTAATTTTTATTTGACTATTTTCGCTACTTATGTGGTATTTAAATTTATGAAGTACCATTTGAAAGTATATCGTATTAGGAATTAAACATAGGGTGTCAATTTTTTGCTTGACCCTATTACAAAGTTGCCGGCTCTATAAATTAGTTCGCGAAGATGATTACTCACATCTAGTAAATCAAATAAATCATAGTTTGCATTAACAGTTATTCTATTTGATCCTAAATTTACCCACCAGATCTAATAATATTTATTTTCCATTATGCTCAATGTAAACATAATAAATTTTATTATATATTATCTATCACAACTTTCTTGTCTAATGTCGGTCTGCAAACTCTCCAGTTTGTCTTGGAGTAGTTTCAAAAACGTCCTTGTTAATACAGCATTTTCGTAGTTCTACATTTGGATTTCTTACCGCTCTTTAACGTTCCGCTAAGTATACAATTTTATTTGGCTTAACTATGAAAATCATCATTGGTCCTTGGTTTGTCTGTCTGCCTGCCTGCCTCTTCCATGAATCTTTCAGCTCTGGATGTCGTAAATCTAGAAAAACTTCGATCTGGGGTTGTCTCCTAGAGTTCCGATTTTGATGCATTCATTTGGTGCAGGTGTTTGTACTTCTTTTATTTTCATCGCTTTCTGTTCCTCCAATTTATCCTTTAGGACATCATACAATATTTAAAGTGTGAGCAAATACTTTAAAATATGTCGTTTCACTTCTAGTTTTTGAAATTTAGACACGCTCTTCAACCGACCGTATGATTTGGTCCGAGCGGAAGTTCTTTATTCCCTACAGGATGTTAATGGGTTGCCTAAGAAAAACTTTACCTCGGATATCACATAAAAGAAATTGGATGGTTAAGTAAGTACATTCATCGAAAGATTCCTACTTATTGCTATTAAAACTAAACATCCCCTACTTAGAAAATTCATATTTAGGATAGATATGCACAAACTGAATCTAAGAATGCCTTATTCTTTCTCAAATAGGCTCAATGTCTATCTTCTCGACACTAGGATTAGGAGTGAATTCGAGTTAGGCATGCCTTTTTCTATTTGGTATGCTCCTAAGTGCCCTTGGATTCTAGAGTGCTACACATTTAGTCAGAATATGAGTAGAGGTTTCTCCTTACATAATCTGCGCTCAGCATCTTCTACTACCCTCATTTTGAGTTTGCAATGCCCGATAAGGATCCCAGTTACAGTGCGTAGCTTATGTTTGCCGAGACATATAGGTTTCCGATCTTTTCTAGTTATATTCAGCCTGTCTTACCCCCAAGAGATTGTTCCAATTATTGGTTCTTTTACTGCTCAATTTCTTTTTAATCTACTGATATTGTGTTACTGCTGATACCTCAGAACGGCTCAGGTCCCACAAAGGCTGTTTGAGCCCCTTTCCTTTCGTAACTATCTACAATATCGTTATCTTTTACCGCATTATGTCCCGCGACCCAAGTGGAAGTAACTTTATTTTCCTCGCTTAAGCTCATTCAGTTTGTCTAGGCATCTCAAGACCATTTTTGAGACGGTTACGTAAGAGCTCAGTGCTTTGACGATAATCCCTTTGGTGATGCTTTTGACCTCTTTGCTGAATTGTCTCTTGAACTCTTGTAATATAGAGGTCTTGATGTGTCATTTGGTTAGATACATGCCATACTTTCTATTGCCTTTTGCTCGCAATATTTTGAACTGAGCCCTTTGCAAAATATCTAAATTGTCTCCATATCTGACATGTCTCCATAATTCTATGCCATATATCCAGTTTAGAATAATTACAGCTTTATATATTTTATTTTCTGCCTGTCTGGATTTCCCGTTCAATTTATTTACATATTTTATGTGATCTTTTTAAAAGTTTTGGTATCTAGAAGGGCATTTTGCTTCTAATTCGAAGAGATGTTCCTGGAGATTTGAGGACGCAGCTATTTGATTTTCATGGATTGCAAGAATAAAAGTGTCGTCGGCAAACGTGCCTGTTGAAATACAATTAGAAATTGGAAGGTATGACGTGTATATTAGATACAATGGTGGCTCTAAAACGCTCCCCTGTGGGACTGCAGATTTAATTGGTTAAAACAGTGAAGTTTTATTCTTTACTTTGGTATTAAAATACCGATGTGATAAGTATGATTGTAGTAAGCTATAAAAGGGGATCGGAAGAGATTGAATATATAAGCATCTTAGATTTTAATAATTATCAAGTCAAATAATTATTTATTTACCAAATGATCACCGATAGAACACAATGCGTAAGAATTAGCCAACACCCACATTAGACACTCAATGCAGCTCACTTCGTTCTGCCTGGGGAGGTGTCGACGGTACTACCGCAAACGTTTCCTCGCACCCCCCGCTTTTGACTGCCGTTGTTCTATTCATTATGTTACAATGAGTAATCACACAAAAATTTGTTTACCTGCTAACAAGTAGGTATATACAGAGGAATCAAATGCATAAATTAACTAAATTACCTTTAAATTTTCATTTGAATATCAGATATAGGTAATTATCTACCAGAAGTCTGTTTAAAACTGGGTAACGCCGTCCAATACAAAATTGGCAACATATGTTTTTTGAGTTGATATTTCAAATAGTACTTCGGGATGAAGGGAAGTCAATAACGAAAATAACAGACGGGATAGAACTTTCTAATATCGGATCTTAGACTAATAGGTTTAAGATAAATATTTATTCCATCGGTATTTTGACACATTTAAGACTTTGTTATTGAAAGGCGAGTAAAGGCTTGTTTTGGTTTCTTCAAAATGTACCGTCCAAAATGGAACAATTGAACACTAAATTATTCGTCGCTTAAATCTTTTAATTAGTCCTCAGATAGTTTTTTATGTGCCAAATAATCATGGAATTATCGTATTACACTGACTTACGTCAATGGAGTCATGCTATTAAAATTATAACTTTTAATAATCCGCAGTTTCAAATTTACTTTTAATAAATTATTCAAAATAATTGTAAATAAGAACACTTTCGACAAATATTTAATTATCTACAGTCGACAGATTACCTCATTGCTCTCGATGTGCGCAAAAGATTTGCGTGGTAACAACAAATTAATTCGTGTGTTTCCCCTCCGACCCATTGTGGTGGAGTTATCGCAATATTTTCTAAAATTACTCTAGTTGCGTCCTTTACTCTTAGTTGGGTCCTTCTTGATTTCTTCAATCAACCTCAACACTCCCGTCAGAGGAGGACGTTTTAGTCAAATCAATTTTCAACTTTACTTTTAACTGTATTTTTTCACAATAAAATACCTTTCGGATGTTGTATATCACAACAATAACTTTTACCACAGAGTTGTTGAGGCAGTGAATTGAGGAAATCGATCTAAATTAGCAGAATGAGTGTCTCATGGACATTGACGTCCACTCACCTCGAAAGATTACATCACAATACTAATTTTACCCGGCTCTAACAATAAAAGGAAGTTCCCCTCTTACTTTATTAGACGCAATATTCAAATTATTAGTCCTAATTGGCTATTGCAACTGAGCCATTGTAGGGGTGGTTATGCCTTTCTCAATCTACCATTATGCAACCAGTATTACACGCAACTGTACATATGGTTGATTTTACAATACTAATGTTTTGGATGGTCCCACAACACTCCATGGTATCTCTTTGCCTAGAAAGCCACGAGGTAATCTGTCGACTGTACCTGTTCTTCACTTTAAATATTGACACTGCCCAAAGCACAAATATTTCAAATTGTTTCTTTTCTGGTTGTATTTTACCTCTTGTTATTTCATATGTTTAGTTATTAGGTTTAAAATTAAAAAGCCGTAGATATTGGTAAATATTTTTAAAACGTACGCGATAATTCAAAGACCAATGGAGGAGTTCTATACAAAGAAAATGTCGCCATTTCCATATTAACGTAATTATATGAACTGTTTTTAAAAGACCATCTTCTTGGTGTTTCACGTTATTATTACTATTATTATTACGGTAGGGGAACCAACGGCACTTTTAGGCAAAATTTCAATATTTTCCTTCGTTCTTACTCTGTAGAACATGGAAATACTTTCTTGGAATGTTATAATTGCTGCCAAACCTCAATTACGGTCTTCGTTCGGATAAATGCTATTAATCAAAAAAATGCGCTGCTGCACCGGCCACGAATTCATGGTTACTAAACTACATTTTACCATAAACAAGTTCTCTACTTGAATTCCCTCCCCTCCTTTTTAGTACCTCTACCATAACGCTCCGAAAATTGTCAATACCAGTTGGCGAACCCTGTATATATAACCCCTACAGTTAGGCAATCCGATCTTTCTGCTATTTATTTTGTACTATTCTGAACCGTTCTTAAAATAGAACAAAATAAATAGAAAAATTAACTGATTGCCTAACTGTAAGGGTTATATATATTATTTCTAAAATAAAAAATATTGCTTTTACGGGACTTGAACCAGGGTCGCGAAATCCAAAGTTAAACGCTTAACGATCTGAGCCATGAAGGCTAATTAATATCAAGTTAATTATATAATGAACTACGTGACATTAGCATCTTTTTTAAGATTGCATCTGCAGCAATGTATTTCCATCTAATACAAGGCAAAAATTAACGTAAATGTGTACAAAAAAAGTGTTACTAGCTTCTCTACCATTAGTATGACTAGTATTATTTTATTTATAAATATTTTGCTGTATTTTAGCAACATTCAAATAAATTGCTCGAAAAAATTTTCTTTACCAGTATCTACGGAACAAAAGATGAATCTCCTATTTCTTCTACTGTTGTGATATATGAGTGTTTTATTATTTAAAAAATACACCGAATAGTATTAATGTTAAAATATACAAATTTGTCTTCTATGGTGTTTTAACTTCTTTAATTTCCTACAGTTTCCTAAATCAGCAAGTATCAGGCAAAACTATTGCCGTATACTATGATAGCCAAGCAACTCTATAGGAAATTCTCTTACCAGAAATCAAATCACGACTGGTGAAAGACTCTAGAAGAACTGGCAAAGCTAAGTAGTCAAAACAAGGTGACCCTAGCCTATGTATCAGGCCATGAGGGATATCAGGGCGACGAATTAGCCCGAGAAGGCTTAGATAAGGCTACGACAGGCTCTGAACCCTTCTGTGATATTGTTAAGGCATTGTTCAAGGCATCCAGCAAACAATGGAAGCAAAAAGAGTCTCAGAAATGGTGGAACAAATATCTGTGTGTGTCAAACACACACACACACACACACACACACACACATACACACATACACACACACACACACACACACATACACACACACACACACACACACACACACACGCACGCACGCACCCTTTCGATTTTTTTGAAAAAATAAAAAATTGTTTAAATTTGCATACGGATAGAGGGTCACATGTAGATCTTAAAAATACACTCAGTTTTTTTCTAACAGCAATATTAAAAAAGTTATGGCCAAAATAAAAATTTTCGATATCTCCTCGCATTTCTATTATCCTGATACAAAGTTCCGAATTCGAAAAGATCCAATTTTGTCTACAAAATTTTGGTACGAGGATAGCAGAAACGCGACAAGGTAGTTGCCTTATTTTTAAATGTGAATAACTACTAAACGGCGCAAGATAGAGCCAAGCGGCAAAGGGCATTTTAAACTATCCGTCCGGCTCTACCTTTATGTGAATTTATGGAATAATTCGATCATTATTAACTGAGGAAATAAGAAAAAAAAGTTAACCCTTATAGCTAGGGAGCAACTGAGTTCACCCCTTAATTGCTCGTGCTTTCCATTATACGTACCCCAATTTTCATCAAGATCTGAGACAAAAAAAATTTTTGTCAAAAAATTTGGAAGGCTATAACCCTTTCGATTTTTTTGAAAAAATAAAAAATTGTTTAAATTTGCATACGGATAGAGGGTCACATGTAGATCTTAAAAATACACTCAGTTTTTTTCTAACAGCAATATTAAAAAAGTTATGGCCAAAATAAAAATTTTCGATATCTCCTCGCATTTCTATTATCCTGATACAAAGTTCCGAATTCGAAAAGATCCAATTTTGTCTACAAAATTTTGGTACGAGGATAGCAGAAACGCGACAAGGTAGTTGCCTTATTTTTAAATGTGAATAACTACTAAACGGCGCAAGATAGAGCCAAGCGGCAAAGGGCATTTTAAACTATCCGTCCGGCTCTACCTTTATGTGAATTTATGGAATAATTCGATCATTATTAACTGAGGAAATAAGAAAAAAAAGTTAACCCTTATAGCTAGGGAGCAACTGAGTTCACCCCTTAATTGCTCGTGCTTTCCATTATACGTACCCCAATTTTCATCAAGATCTGAGACAAAAAAATTTTTGTCAAAAAATTTGGAAGGCTATAACCCTTTCTATTTTTTTGAAAAAATAAAAAATTGTTTAAATTTGCATACGGATAGAGGGTCACATGTAGATCTTAAAAATACACTCAGTTTTTTTCTAATAGCAATATTAAAAAAGTTATGGCCAAAATAAAAATTTTCGATATCTCCTCGCGTTTCTATTATCCTGATACAAAGTTCCGAATTCGAAAAGATCCAATTTTGTCTACAAAATTTTGGTATGAGGATAGCAGAAACGCGACAAGGTATTTGACTTATTTTTAAATGTGAATAACTACTAAACGGCGCAAGATAGAGGCAAGCGGCAAAGGGCATTTTAAACTATCCGTCCGGCTCTACCTTTATGTGAATTTATGGAATAAATCGATCATTATTAACTGAGGAATTACCAAAAAAAAGTTAACCCTTATAGATAGGGAGCAACTGAGTTCACCCTTTAATTGCTCGTGCTTTCCATTATACGTACCCCAATTTTCATCAAGATCTGAGAAAAAAAAATTTTTTGTCAAAAAATTTGGAAGGCTATATATACCCTTTCGATTTTTTTGAGAAAATAAAAAACTGTTTAAATTTGCATACGGATGAAGGGTCACATGTAGATCTTAAAAATACACTCAGTTTTTTTCTAATAGCAATATTAAAAAAGTTATGGCCAAAATAAAAATTTTCGATATCTCCTCGCGTTTCTATTATCCTGATACAAAGTTCCGAATTCGAAAAGATCCAATTTTGTCTACAAAATTTTGGTATGAGGATAGCAGAAACGCGACAAGGTATTTGACTTATTTTTAAATGTGAATAACTACTAAACGGCGCAAGATAGAGGCAAGCGGCAAAGGGCATTTTAAACTATCCGTCCGGCTCTACCTTTATGTGAATTTATGGAATAAATCGATCATTATTAACTGAGGAATTACCAAAAAAAAGTTAACCCTTATAGATAGGGAGCAACTGAGTTCACCCTTTAATTGCTCGTGCTTTCCATTATACGTACCCCAATTTTCATCAAGATCTGAGACAAAAAAAATTTTTGTCAAAAAATTTGGAAGGCTATACCCTTTCGATTTTTTTGAGAAAATAAAAAACTGTTTAAATTTGCATACGGATGAAGGGTCACATGTAGATCTTAAAAATACACTCAGTTTTTTTCTAATAGCAATATTAAAAAAGTTATGGCCAAAATAAAAATTTTCGATATCTCCTCGCGTTTCTATTATCCTGATACAAAGTTCCGAATTCGAAAAGATCCAATTTTGTCTACAAAATTTTGGTATGAGGATAGCAGAAACGCGACAAGGTAGTTGTCTTATTTTTAAATGTGAATAACTACTAAACGGCGCAAGATAGAGGCAAGCGGCAAAGGGCATTTTAAACTATCCGTCCGGCTCTACCTTTATGTGAATTTATGGAATAAATCGATCATTATTAACTGAGGAATTACCAAAAAAAAAGTTAACCCTTATAGATAGGGAGCAACTGAGTTCACCCTATAATTGCTCGTGCTTTCCATTATACGTACCCCAATTTTCATCAAGATCTGAGACAAAAAAATTTTTTGTCAAAAAATTTGGAAGGCTATACCCTTTTGATTTTTTTGAAAAAATAAAAAATTGTTTAAATTTGCATACGGATAGAGGGTCACATGTAGATCTTAAAAATACACTCAGTTTTTTTCTAATAGCAATATTAAAAAAGTTATGGCCAAAATAAAAATTTTCGATATCTCCTCGCGTTTCTATTATCCTGATACAAAGTTCCGAATTCGAAAAGATCCAATTTTGTCTACAAAATTTTGGTACGAGGATAGCAGAAACGCGACAAGGTAGTTGCCTTATTTTTAAATGTGAATAACTACTAAACGGCGCAAGATAGAGCCAAGCGGCAAAGGGCATTTTAAACTATCCGTCCGGCTCTACCTTTATGTGAATTTATGGAATAAATCGATCATTATTAACTGAGGAATTACCAAAAAAAAAGTTAACCCTTATAGATAGGGAGCAACTGAGTTCACCCTATAATTGCTCGTGCTTTCCATTATACGTACCCCAATTTTCATCAAGATCTGAGACAAAAAAAATTTTTGTCAAAAAATTTGGAAGGCTATAACCCTTTCGATTTTTTTGAAAAAATAAAAAATTGTTTAAATTTGCATACGGATAGAGGGTCACATGTAGATCTTAAAAATACACTCAGTTTTTTTCTAATAGCAATATTAAAAAAGTTATGGCCAAAATAAAAATTTTCGATATCTCCTCGCGTTTCTATTATCCTGATACAAAGTTCCGAATTCGAAAAGATCCAATTTTGTCTACAAAATTTTGGTATGAGGATAGCAGAAACGCGACAAGGTATTTGACTTATTTTTAAATGTGAATAACTACTAAACGGCGCAAGATAGAGGCAAGCGGCAAAGAGCATTTTAAACTATCCGTCCGGCTCTACCTTTATGTGAATTTATGGAATAAATCGATCATTATTAACTGAGGAATTACCAAAAAAAAGTTAACCCTTATAGATAGGGAGCAACTGAGTTCACCCTTTAATTGCTCGTGCTTTCCATTATACGTACCCCAATTTTCATCAAGATCTGAGACAAAAAAATTTTTTGTCAAAAAATTTGGAAGGCTATATATACCCTTTCGATTTTTTTGAGAAAATAAAAAACTGTTTAAATTTGCATACGGATGAAGGGTCACATGTAGATCTTAAAAATACACTCAGTTTTTTTCTAATAGCAATATTAAAAAAGTTATGGCCAAAATAAAAATTTTCGATATCTCCTCGCGTTTCTATTATCCTGATACAAAGTTCCGAATTCGAAAAGATCCAATTTTGTCTACAAAATTTTGGTATGAGGATAGCAGAAACGCGACAAGGTAGTTGCCTTATTTTTAAATGTGAATAACTACTAAACGGCGCAAGATAGAGGCAAGCGGCAAAGGGCATTTTAAACTATCCGTCCGGCTCTACTTTTATGTGAATTTATGGAATAAATCGATCATTATTAACTGAGGAATTACCAAAAAAAAAGTTAACCCTTATAGATAGGGAGCAACTGAGTTCACCCTATAATTGCTCGTGCTTTCCATTATACGTACCCCAATTTTCATCAAGATCTGAGACAAAAAAATTTTTTGTCAAAAAATTTGGAAGGCTATACCCTTTTGATTTTTTTGAAAAAATAAAAAATTGTTTAAATTTGCATACGGATAGAGGGTCACATGTAGATCTTAAAAATACACTCAGTTTTTTTCTAATAGCAATATTAAAAAAGTTATGGCCAAAATAAAAATTTTCGATATCTCCTCGCGTTTCTATTATCCTGATACAAAGTTCCGAATTCGAAAAGATCCAATTTTGTCTACAAAATTTTGGTACGAGGATAGCAGAAACGCGACAAGGTAGTTGCCTTATTTTTAAATGTGAATAACTACTAAACGGCGCAAGA